ACTCCCTGCGACGCGTCAAATCTCAAGTCCACAACGCGTCCATCTCCAAATCCAACACCCTCCAGCGCAGAGCGCTATTCACGCAGCCTTGATAAGCCTCCCGTTCGTTGGCCTCCGGCGGCCCAGACCTGTAAAATTTGAGCCTTATATCGCGTCAAATGGAGGCAAAACCGCACCCAAAATATACCATCAAATGCAGCGCAAACTGTGTGGAGCAACACACAGTCGACACCTTTGCAAGCCCACCCCACGTTGGCCTCCGGCGGTTCAAACCCTGCAAAAAATGAGCCTTATATCGCGTCAAATAGAGGCAAAAACGCACCCAGAATATACCATCAAAACGAGCGCGGACAGCAGTGTCGGACACGGATTAACAAGAGTCGGGGAGCATCCGAGTCGGCCGCCGCACCGCCCGGAAATGTTCCAGCCGAGAGCGCCGAGAGGAGCGAGATGGCCCAGCTGATGTCGGTCGGAGGTGGTGGTGATGATAGAAGAACGGCGCGGGGCAAAGGCAGGGGGAAAGTGCCGAGATGAAGGGCCAACGTTGAGCTGGGTGGTCCGGCCTTCCCGTTGGTGATGGCGGAGATGGAGCCGGTCAAGCCCTCAGCAGCCACGGAAAGTGTCGCAGGCCGGCGGGAACATGGCACGACGGCAACAGGGCAGGGACACAAGTTGAGCATGGACACAATAAAAACAGGATGAGTTAAGGGAGCAAGGATAGAGTGAAAGCGTACCCCAGGACTGCACTTCATTCTTGAACGGACCGGCCGACTCAACGTCTTGAGGAGAAAGGTGGCGCGGGTCGAAACGCGATGGGCAAAGCAACGCGCCGGTGACAACGACATGGGATACGGTCAGCACCGACAGAAGGACTGGAGGACATTGGCCGGTGCCCTACAAAAAATGTAAGTGAAGGATGATAAGGCAAGCGGAAGGTGCTTACAAATGGAGTCTAAGCCAAGGGTAAGATGCTGTGCTCGGCGCCCCACGACCTTTCCTTCCCCGCGGCACCGCCAAATGTCCTGCGTGAAACCGGCTCGGCGCTGCGCGCGTGCCCCCGAGTCCCTCTGATGATCGACGCCGCCATAGGCCGAGTGATGCAGTCGTCCAAAATGATTGCTCGGCGCTTCGCGCCTCGCTCGCTCGCAATCCAGCACAACAGCAGTGTGGAAAACACACTGCCGAGAGCTTTGAAGGCCAGGGCGTTTTGATCGCCTCCGGCGGCAAAAACCTGTGAAAAAGTGAGCTATTTAGACGCTAAAAAGAGGGCAAAAATGTACCGAAAAATACCATCAAAATCTGGTGATGGCATCATGCCGGGGTGCCGACGGGCGATCCGGCCCCGGCGAGGCATGATATAGAACCAAAATGGGCGGCATAGTCCGCAATGCCAAAAGTCCAGGCGGTAGCGCAGGCCTCCGGCAGCGAAAATCTGGGAAAAATGAGCTTTTTGGACGTCAAAAATGCGGGCAAATGTGCTTACGTAAGCGTCATTTTGTAGGTCAAAATCGCCACAGAAGTGCTTGCCGAAGAGCTGGTATGGCCCCAGATCTGGACATAACATGAATGAAATATAACAATGAAGCAGAAAGACCATACCGGCACAGTTTCCTCACACCGGCAGAGGTTCCCCCTATGGTCGGCGTGGGTGGCGGCGAAGCAGGTGCGGCCTCAACGATAGCAACAGTAAGTCTAAGGCGGATGTCAGTCCTGCATTATCAAACATCAGTAAGGACTTACCAGCATAGATTTCCCGCCCGAGCAGAGGTCCCCCCTCCGCGTAGTCATGGTCAACGACAACACTAATCGGACATCAGTACAAGCTCATATCCCCTCAGCAGAAACAACTTACCAGCAATATTCCGCATCTAAGCAGAGGTTCACGCTCCCGCTTGCCTCGCGAATGATGGTCACAAATCTAAAGCTGAGATCAACATCTTATCGCGAAGAACAAGGGCGACAACTTACTAGCAAAGCATCTACGCACGAGCAGAGGTTCCCCCTCTGTATATGGGTCGGGTCGCGTTGATAATAGCGAGGCTAAGTGGTACATCAGTACGACATCATACGACCACAATGAAAGCAACTTACAGGCAACAATTCACCGCCCGAGCAGAGGTTCACGGTTGGAGGATAGACATGACCTGCAACGCCAACGGCCACAAAGCTATGGCTTACATCAACACCTTATCATCGAAGAACGACGGCGATGACTTACTAACAAAGATTCCGCACACGAGCAGAGGCTCCCCCTTCATATTGGGTCGCATTGATAAGAACACTAAGCAGGGAATCAGGACGATGTCATAGTACAACAACAAAAGCAACTTACAAGGAAGAATTTGACGTCCGAGCAGAGGTTCACCCTCTCGCAAAAGTTTGAGTGGCCGTCGCCAGCTGAAACATAACGTTATTACTCTGTTAGAACCGATAGAGCAACAACATACAACTAGTCCTTCCGCTGACGAGCAGAGTAGAGCTCTTAGTTGCGAGACGTTGGCACCGCAGAGGGAAGAGGCGGCGGCGCGGCATCCATGACGACGTCCACATTCGATGACACGACTACAATAGATCAGCATCATATCCCAGAGACAGAAACAACTTACGAGCAGAGGTTCCCCGTCTGAAGACAGCAGCGCGGACAGCTAAGAAGCTATACTGACATCAACAACGCGCTGGAAAGCAAACAAAATAAGGACATACCGGCATAGTCGATGTCCACGCAGAGGCTCCCCAACTTACAAGCAGAGGTTCCTCATCTCTGACGACGGCGGCGCGAACAGCAACGAATCTGTGCCAACATCAACGACGCGCTAGAAAGCAAGCAAGATATTGACATACCGGCAGAGTCCCCATGTCCACGCAGAGGTTCCCCCCTCCCGCAAAGTATAAAGCGACCGAGGACTCGGAGAAGCTAGACATTGTGTGAGCGACTTGGACAAACACAAAAAGTGGACAATAGTACATACCTCTGAGTTGGTGCTCGGACTCGGCTGAGTCCAGAGAGTCGTGAGCTGGGCAAGGCGGAGGAGAACGTGCAAGGTGGGTCCGGACCAGCTACCAACCCGGGTGTGAAACGACGACAACAGTGCAGCTGGTTGCCAGCGCTGGATGAAGAGTGGTCAGTAAAAAATAAAAAGGAAGCCAAACACAACATACATAAATGGCGCGCCTGACGCTGCCCGTTCGAGCGGCTTCCGTGTGGTTGAGTAGACCGGTTGCGCCAGACTGTCAGAGGAGGTCAGAAGAAAGCGCTGAGTTCACAGCCGCACACGCACACTCCGTATGACTGGACGCGTTGCCGTAAACGGTGCACTCGGGAACACGACTTGAAAGCCCAAACTAGGGCTGAGAACGGGGAGCAGGAGGGTGCTACGGAGGCTGGGATGAGCGCGGGCGGCAAGAAAACAGACGGAGGCATACCTTCATCGACGAGGAACGCGTTGACGAGTGTTGTGGTGGTGGAGTGAAGACAAGCCAGGAAATGGCGCGTGACTTCGTTGATGATTTGATTTCTCCACGGAAATCACATCAACGGTGTCAAGCACACTGTCACCGAGTCAGGGTCGGAATGAGCGGCGCGGAGAGTGAGGAAGAGTGCCGAGTAACGGGTGGTGCGTTAGCCCGTGCTTGCCGGGTCTGAAGCTAACGGAGATGATGATGCAGGCTCACCCGGTGCACGTAGGCGTGGGCGGCGCGCAATCATGATGGCGCATCATCGATACGGGTGATGCGGCGCGACGCGACACGTCGGGGAGGATAGCTTGAGTGCCATGCGGGGCATGGCCAAAAGAACAGGTGTTGCCTTGCCGTCCCCAGCGCGCGCAGGCATGTCCCGCTTTCCGTGGCGTACTATTTTTAGAGTTCACCTGCGGTGACGGAAATAGTCGCCAACCTCGGCCAATGAAGACCGCCGACGGCAATGCGGTCAGGGTTCAATCTTATTGTCAGGGTCCTATTGCGTTAACACGGAAGAGAAGCCACCCACGAACAAAATCAAGAAGCCCGCTGACAGGCAGCCCGGTGATGTGGCGATCACTGCCCGGGCATGTACGAACCCTGTAGAAACTTGGTACAGTTGAATGCTCCTCCTGTGGCTTTTGGCCTACATGTGTTCTGCCCTTTTGTTTTCCTTAGGTCTTCAAGTATCTCTTTTTTGCCCAATTTTCAGCGCAATTGACGCGTTAAACGACGCGTTTCTTGCGTGTTATCAGCGCGTTTTTTCTGCGGCTCAGCGGTAGCTAGCTGCTTACATTTTTCGCGCCCATCACTACTCACACTGGATGCCAGATTGGGCAATTCACCCGGTCCAGTGCGGATTCTTCCCTGTGCAAACCAATCCGTATGGTCAATTCAGACAAATTTCAGGTAAGCTTATGCTTGAGCATTTGCGGCTGGCCTGAGGCCTATCGCCCCACGCGATGGGGTTGAATCTAACAAAAAGCTGTGATTTCCTGCTTTTTGGGTCCAGTCAGCGCACATCGGCCATGCGACCCGATTAAAGCCCCAGAATGATATTAATAGTTATCCGCTACCCTGAGCCCGTCTCCGATTCGCCTCACGGGCCCAGACTCGTCACGATCTTCGCAAATCATTTCCGGGGCCCACACTGATTTCCGCTTCACCACCGCCCGCGTTGCAACGCCGCTTACCGCAGCATGTCCATTTGACAGCTGGAACATTTCGTAAGTTCTGCAGCCAGCTATGCCCGTCTCGCCCTTTGCGCCTCCCAAAATTCGATTCATTGTCCATTTCAGTCCTTTCGCATGTTGGACTCGTATGGCGTTTGCTGGTGAACCAAATTTCTTTTCGCAGCTGCTTCAAATCCATCTACTCAACGCCCTCCGCACTCAAAATAGCTCGGCTAAAGCATAGAAACTGACATCTTTGCATTTTATGGAAGATCAGTCAGCCACTCGCACCGATAACGAGACAGCCCAGCTCGGGCGAACTGTCAAAGCTAAGCGAGCTCCAACGCCTATAAGAACCCCCCACGGGTCTCAGGCTTCGCGCCCGTCACTCTTTCCCTCCTCCCATCCACCAACTGCACGTGCCCGCCTCATCGTCGTCGTCGTCGACTCCCACCTCCATGTCAACCATGGTGTCGTGATGATGCTGTTGTGCTCGTCGTTCTTCTCCAGCCCCCGCTCACCATGTACACAGAATTCGAGCTCGACCCGAGCTTCATCGTCGTCTTACTCAAAGGTCAGTTTTACATTCGTGTTGTTGACTTGAGTACTTACCTGGTTGCAGCGTCATTATAATTCCCCCGCTCCCTCCTGGCAGACCTTCCGCCAATGCCAAGCTGGCCAGAGGTAAGTCCAATGCGTTCATTCGACAACATGCTTACTTACTTTGTATAGGCGACCGCTCGAAGATCAAGCTGTTCGCAAACAAGACGGTCAGCTCCACATTCTCGTTGTTGACCTGGATACTTACCATGTTATAGCGCCATTGTTTCTCCCCTCTACTCTTTCGTGTCCACGGACCCAAGCTGGAGGAGTAGGTCAGTCTAATCCGTTAGAACATGCTGACTTACTTTGCATAGTTAAATCGCCTCCGCTTTAGCGTCATTGTAACGCCCCCGTTCTCTCCTCCGCCAACCCCAAGCAGGAGGTAAGTCCAATGCGTTCATTCAACAACATGCTTGCTCACTTTTGCAGAGACCGTCCTTCCCGAATCGCTTCCGCTCGAAACCCAAGCTGTTCTCAAACCTGCAACGCAAGTACGGTGGGCTTCACATTCTCGTTGTTGATTTGAATGCTTACCATGTTATAGCGTCGTTATCTCTCCCCACTCTTTCGCGTTCACAGTCCATTCGCCCCAAGCTAGAGGAGGTAAGTCCAATTTGCTTCAAGAACAAACTTACTCACTTTGTATAGGCCGCCGTTTGCCAAATCGCCTCCGCTTGTAACCCATCTCGTTCGCAAAGCTTCAAGGCAAGTCAGGACCACTTTCCGTTAAATTGTACTCACTTATCAACAGAGCTTGCTCGCGTCGCTGTTGCTGGCCGACACTGCCCCTTCCCGCGGCCTTCAAATCCCACCACTCATCCGCGTATTTTCCCGCCCCATACAATTTCCCTCCTCACCGTCGTTGTCATTTGCAGCGTTCGATGGGGTCTTCAAGTTGCTGTAGGCTATTAACGCCGAGCAGGTCGTCAGAGCTGGAGGAGCTAGCGAACGAGGAGACTAGTTTTGTAGTTCCTCTCACCTTTTCCGCGCACTAACTCTCGTTGCAGGTGGTTCCGAGTTTGCCCAACGGCTATAATTATCAAAAAGTCAGCCAATCAAGCGTTCTTGACGCGCAACAAGCGCGCCTTTTACTCCTTCTCCGCCCGCGTGCTGACCCTCGTTTCCAGGCTGACCGCCCTCTCCCGTTTGCGATTCCCAACCGGTGCGTGCCCAGCTCATTGTCAAGACCGGCCGGCGCTGACTCGTTCTTTCCCAGCATCGATTCGGCGCCATTCGCAGGCTGCAGTAGCAGAAGAGGCGGTCCGGGGCGTGTTAGAGCACAGCGGCAAAGCGGCTGGAGGGCGTAGTTAGCATTCCAGCCACTTTAGATAGATGTCGGCGGCTTGCCGTGGATTGGCGGGCTCGGCGGGCCGTTCGCGGCAGGCAGCGCAATCCGCGCGTCTTGAAGCCGGGCGCAGTCATGTGGTTTTGGGCCGAAGCACGGGCGAGCGGGCTGGTCGGTGGAGCGAGCGGGAGATGAGGGGAAGCGGGAGTGGTTGGTAAGCGACACGTGCCGTCGGGCTACGGGCCCGACAGGCCGATCGTCGCTTCCTCACGACCCTGAGCCTCCTTGCGCTCGCCGTCGTTGGCGCAGCCTGCTGCGTGCCCGCCTAGCTTTTCTTCGTTGCATCGCGCGTTGGGAGGGCGGCGGGGCTATATATATATATATACTTCAGGTCAAGAAGATGAGGCGAAGGAGAAGGGTGGTGAGTATCAATTTGTCCTTTCTCCCTCCTCGATGCACTCGCTGACTCCTACTTTCAGAGCGTGTCAACCTGAAGCGAATCCCCGCCCAGCCCCGGGCCGCCCGCACCGTCACCGCTGTGTCGTCCCACAAACGATGGTGCCTATACCATACGAGACGACAATCTAGAGGCTTGTCGCTTACGAGTTGTTTGGTTGGTTGGCCACCGTGGTGGGACGTGTATGCTATATGCGCTATGTGGCGATGATGAGCGACGAAAAAAAAAATGATTCAAATTCATGCATTCCTTTCGCTTTAGTTCAAGAGCACGAACAACAACACATGAGCAGGATTGGAAAGTACTCCGCACTCAAATTCACAGCAGCTGAATGTATTCTACTTCTCACTATGGAGTTAGACTTGAACCAGCCCTATGAAAGTGTGAACCGTTGGGAGCTGGCCTAAGCGAACCTACTATGTAGTTGGCTCAAACTGACAATGCCCGTCGATAGTGCATGCCTTTCGCTTCATCTGAGTGTATTTTGCTGAGTCGATTCGAAGAGTTACTGCTGAGAGCGTCTAAATCTACTCTATTTCTTGGTCTCGGTTCCTAATAGTACTTGTCAGTGGTACAAACAACAGGTTCTAGCTGATATGGTTCAGAATTCTTCTACAAGTGGTTGATTATAGCTTCAATGAGCATGGCGATATGGTGCAGGGTCATGGGGGCGTGCTCGCCGATCTGGTCAGTCAGGATGAGAGCAAAGTGGCTTTTCATTGCGTATGCGTCGTAGCAGGATTTCATGTTGCGGAGCTCAGGCAGCCCCAGTCCAACCGAACGGAGGAGCCCGATGTAGCCTGCGAGGCTTTCTCGAGGCGCCGACTGCAAGAAGACGAGTAAGGCATTTTCGTCGGTGTCTTCGGCGGGCTGTTGCGCGTGAAAAGTCCGAATATCCAGCGGGTATATGTGCTAATTACCTGAATGTTCACTGGTGTCACAGAACTAAAGCTGTTTCCGGCCCCAATGGACGGAGAGGTGCTAGCTGCCAACTGGGTTGGTTGATTGAGATTCTGAGCTGCATATGGACGAGGCGGAAAAGGATACACAGCCGGCTTTCTTGAGGGTATGCGAGCGCTAATTGTCAACGCCGGGTCGATTCCCTTGCACTAAGTAATGAATCAGTTGCAAGTCACGGGAAAATCAACAACAAATGGACGGACTGCTGGATATTCTGAGGCGGAGAAGGGCTGGAGAGCTTGAGGAGTCCGAGCGTCATCGAAAGCCTGCGCAGACAGTAAGTTGGCGGTAAATTGAGGCCTCAGATATGTTCCGAGTGTGCCAAATCGCGTTTCTCTCTCCTGGACAGCCTGCTCGGTGGAGTCATGACCACTCGATCTCAGACTAAAACCCGATCCAGGCCGCGAAGGCAGGCAACTTCCAGGTGTCGACGCGGGTTGCGCTAATTCATACTTATGAAGGATACTCGGAAGGTCGCCAGCGAGGGCCACATCTCGACTGGTGTCGTCTGGCTCAGCATGACGGTGGCTTTTGGGAGAGCACAGTAGCACATCCCGTGACTGGCATGTAATTATTTCCCATGTCAAACCATACCCCCCCCCTTGCACGCCCCGCTCCAACGCTAAGTCGCGCTCGCTCGCCAAGTCGCGCGAGCGAGAGACCCTCTAATATACTACTTTTTTCAGCGCACGGACCTATAAACAAGGTCATGTGAGTACTCTGTGCATCGAGCAGCGGGCGAAAAATTGGGATTTGGGGACAGGTTTGAGTGGATTTGGGGGACATAACATGCTGGGGAATTTGGCGTCACTCTCGGGCTTTCCGGGCAGGCATATAACGATGTAAAGTCATATATTAGCTATTTTAAAAGGTACATCCAGGCGCGCTAATTAACAACGCGTCGCGACGCGTGCCAACTCCCTGCGACGCGTCAAATCTCAAGTCCACAACGCGTCCATCTCCAAATCCAACACCCTCCAGCGCAGAGCGCTATTCACGCAGCCTTGATAAGCCTCCCGTTCGTTGGCCTCCGGCGGCCCAGACCTGTAAAATTTGAGCCTTATATCGCGTCAAATGGAGGCAAAACCGCACCCAAAATATACCATCAAATGCAGCGCAAACTGTGTGGAGCAACACACAGTCGACACCTTTGCAAGCCCACCCCACGTTGGCCTCCGGCGGTTCAAACCCTGCAAAAAATGAGCCTTATATCGCGTCAAATAGAGGCAAAAACGCACCCAGAATATACCATCAAAACGAGCGCGGACAGCAGTGTCGGACACGGATTAACAAGAGTCGGGGAGCATCCGAGTCGGCCGCCGCACCGCCCGGAAATGTTCCAGCCGAGAGCGCCGAGAGGAGCGAGATGGCCCAGCTGATGTCGGTCGGAGGTGGTGGTGATGATAGAAGAACGGCGCGGGGCAAAGGCAGGGGGAAAGTGCCGAGATGAAGGGCCAACGTTGAGCTGGGTGGTCCGGCCTTCCCGTTGGTGATGGCGGAGATGGAGCCGGTCAAGCCCTCAGCAGCCACGGAAAGTGTCGCAGGCCGGCGGGAACATGGCACGACGGCAACAGGGCAGGGACACAAGTTGAGCATGGACACAATAAAAACAGGATGAGTTAAGGGAGCAAGGATAGAGTGAAAGCGTACCCCAGGACTGCACTTCATTCTTGAACGGACCGGCCGACTCAACGTCTTGAGGAGAAAGGTGGCGCGGGTCGAAACGCGATGGGCAAAGCAACGCGCCGGTGACAACGACATGGGATACGGTCAGCACCGACAGAAGGACTGGAGGACATTGGCCGGTGCCCTACAAAAAATGTAAGTGAAGGATGATAAGGCAAGCGGAAGGTGCTTACAAATGGAGTCTAAGCCAAGGGTAAGATGCTGTGCTCGGCGCCCCACGACCTTTCCTTCCCCGCGGCACCGCCAAATGTCCTGCGTGAAACCGGCTCGGCGCTGCGCGCGTGGCCCCCGAGTCCCTCTGATGATCGACGCCGCCATAGGCCGAGTGATGCAGTCGTCCAAAATGATTGCTCGGCGCTTCGCGCCTCGCTCGCTCGCAATCCAGCACAACAGCAGTGTGGAAAACACACTGCCGAGAGCTTTGAAGGCCAGGGCGTTTTGATCGCCTCCGGCGGCAAAAACCTGTGAAAAAGTGAGCTATTTAGACGCTAAAAAGAGGGCAAAAATGTACCGAAAAATACCATCAAAATCTGGTGATGGCATCATGCCGGGGTGCCGACGGGCGATCCGGCCCCGGCGAGGCATGATATAGAACCAAAATGGGCGGCATAGTCCGCAATGCCAAAAGTCCAGGCGGTAGCGCAGGCCTCCGGCAGCGAAAATCTGGGAAAAATGAGCTTTTTGGACGTCAAAAATGCGGGCAAATGTGCTTACGTAAGCGTCATTTTGTAGGTCAAAATCGCCACAGAAGTGCTTGCCGAAGAGCTGGTATGGCCCCAGATCTGGACATAACATGAATGAAATATAACAATGAAGCAGAAAGACCATACCGGCACAGTTTCCTCACACCGGCAGAGGTTCCCCCTATGGTCGAGCGTGGGTGGCGGCGAAGCAGGTGCGGCCTCAACGATAGCAACAGTAAGTCTAAGGCGGATGTCAGTCCTGCATTATCAAACATCAGTAAGGACTTACCAGCATAGATTTCCCGCCCGAGCAGAGGTCCCCCCCTCCGCGTAGTCATGGTCAACGACAACACTAATCGGACATCAGTACAAGCTCATATCCCCTCAGCAGAAACAACTTACCAGCAATATTCCGCATCTAAGCAGAGGTTCACGCTCCCGCTTGCCTCGCGAATGATGGTCACAAATCTAAAGCTGAGATCAACATCTTATCGCGAAGAACAAGGGCGACAACTTACTAGCAAAGCATCTACGCACGAGCAGAGGTTCCCCCTCTGTATATGGGTCGGGTCGCGTTGATAATAGCGAGGCTAAGTGGTACATCAGTACGACATCATACGACCACAATGAAAGCAACTTACAGGCAACAATTCACCGCCCGAGCAGAGGTTCACGGTTGGAGGATAGACATGACCTGCAACGCCAACGGCCACAAAGCTATGGCTTACATCAACACCTTATCATCGAAGAACGACGGCGATGACTTACTAACAAAGATTCCGCACACGAGCAGAGGCTCCCCCCTTCATATTGGGTCGCATTGATAAGAACACTAAGCAGGGAATCAGGACGATGTCATAGTACAACAACAAAAGCAACTTACAAGGAAGAATTTGACGTCCGAGCAGAGGTTCACCCTCTCGCAAAAGTTTGAGTGGCCGTCGCCAGCTGAAACATAACGTTATTACTCTGTTAGAACCGATAGAGCAACAACATACAACTAGTCCTTCCGCTGACGAGCAGAGTAGAGCTCTTAGTTGCGAGACGTTGGCACCGCAGAGGGAAGAGGCGGCGGCGCGGCATCCATGACGACGTCCACATTCGATGACACGACTACAATAGATCAGCATCATATCCCAGAGACAGAAACAACTTACGAGCAGAGGTTCCCCGTCTGAAGACAGCAGCGCGGACAGCTAAGAAGCTATACTGACATCAACAACGCGCTGGAAAGCAAACAAAATAAGGACATACCGGCATAGTCGATGTCCACGCAGAGGCTCCCCAACTTACAAGCAGAGGTTCCTCATCTCTGACGACGGCGGCGCGAACAGCAACGAATCTGTGCCAACATCAACGACGCGCTAGAAAGCAAGCAAGATATTGACATACCGGCAGAGTCCCCATGTCCACGCAGAGGTTCCCCCTCCCGCAAAGTATAAAGCGACCGAGGACTCGGAGAAGCTAGACATTGTGTGAGCGACTTGGACAAACACAAAAAGTGGACAATAGTACATACCTCTGAGTTGGTGCTCGGACTCGGCTGAGTCCAGAGAGTCGTGAGCTGGGCAAGGCGGAGGAGAACGTGCAAGGTGGGTCCGGACCAGCTACCAACCCGGGTGTGAAACGACGACAACAGTGCAGCTGGTTGCCAGCGCTGGATGAAGAGTGGTCAGTAAAAATAAAAAGGAAGCCAAACACAACATACATAAATGGCGCGCCTGACGCTGCCCGTTCGAGCGGCTTCCGTGTGGTTGAGTAGACCGGTTGCGCCAGACTGTCAGAGGAGGTCAGAAGAAAGCGCTGAGTTCACAGCCGCACACGCACACTCCGTATGACTGGACGCGTTGCCGTAAACGGTGCACTCGGGAACACGACTTGAAAGCCCAAACTAGGGCTGAGAACGGGGAGCAGGAGGGTGCTACGGAGGCTGGGATGAGCGCGGGCGGCAAGAAAACAGACGGAGGCATACCTTCATCGACGAGGAACGCGTTGACGAGTGTTGTGGTGGTGGAGTGAAGACAAGCCAGGAAATGGCGCGTGACTTCGTTGATGATTTGATTTCTCCACGGAAATCACATCAACGGTGTCAAGCACACTGTCACCGAGTCAGGGTCGGAATGAGCGGCGCGGAGAGTGAGGAAGAGTGCCGAGTAACGGGTGGTGCGTTAGCCCGTGCTTGCCGGGTCTGAAGCTAACGGAGATGATGATGCAGGCTCACCCGGTGCACGTAGGCGTGGGCGGCGCGCAATCATGATGGCGCATCATCGATACGGGTGATGCGGCGCGACGCGACACGTCGGGGAGGATAGCTTGAGTGCCATGCGGGGCATGGCCAAAAGAACAGGTGTTGCCTTGCCGTCCCCAGCGCGCGCAGGCATGTCCCGCTTTCCGTGGCGTACTATTTTTAGAGTTCACCTGCGGTGACGGAAATAGTCGCCAACCTCGGCCAATGAAGACCGCCGACGGCAATGCGGTCAGGGTTCAATCTTATTGTCAGGGTCCTATTGCGTTAACACGGAAGAGAAGCCACCCACGAACAAAATCAAGAAGCCCGCTGACAGGCAGCCCGGTGATGTGGCGATCACTGCCCGGGCATGTACGAACCCTGTAGAAACTTGGTACAGTTGAATGCTCCTCCTGTGGCTTTTGGCCTACATGTGTTCTGCCCTTTTGTTTTCCTTAGGTCTTCAAGTATCTCTTTTTTGCCCAATTTTCAGCGCAATTGACGCGTTAAACGACGCGTTTCTTGCGTGTTATCAGCGCGTTTTTTCTGCGGCTCAGCGGTAGCTAGCTGCTTACATTTTTTCGCCCATCACTACTCACACTGGATGCCAGATTGGGCAATTCACCCGGTCCAGTGCGGATTCTTCCCTGTGCAAACCAATCCGTATGGTCAATTCAGACAAATTTCAGGTAAGCTTATGCTTGAGCATTTGCGGCTGGCCTGAGGCCTATCCCCCACGCGATGGGGTTGAATCTAACAAAAAGCTGTGATTTCCTGCTTTTTGGGTCCAGTCAGCGCACATCGGCCATGCGACCCGATTAAAGCCCCAGAATGATATTAATAGTTATCCGCTACCCTGAGCCCGTCTCCGATTCGCCTCACGGGCCCAGACTCGTACGATCTTCGCAAATCATTTCCGGGGCCCACACTGATTTCCGCTTCACCACCGCCCGCGTTGCAACGCCGCTTACCGCAGCATGTCCATTTGACAGCTGGAACATTTCGTAAGTTCTGCAGCCAGCTATGCCCGTCTCGCGCCCTTTGCGCTCCCCAAAATTCGATTCATTGTCCATTTCAGTCCTTTCGCATGTTGGACTCGTATGGCGTTTTGCTGGTGAACCAAATTTCTTTTCGCAGCTGCTTCAAATCCATCTACTCAACGCCCTCCGCACTCAAAATAGCTCGGCTAAAGCATAGAAACTGACATCTTTGCATTTTATGGAAGATCAGTCAGCCACTCGCACCGATAACGAGACAGCCCAGCTCGGGCGAACTGTCAAAGCTAAGCGAGCTCCAACGCCTATAAGAACCCCCACGGGTCTCAGGCTTCGCGCCCGTCACTCTTTCCCTCCTCCCATCCACCAACTGCACGTGCCCGCCTCATCGTCGTCGTCGTCGACTCCCACCTCCATGTCAACCATGGTGTCGTGATGATGCTGTTGTGCTCGTCGTTCTTTTCCAGCCCCCGCTCACCATGTACACAGAATTCGAGCTCGACCCGAGCTTCATCGTCGTCTTACTCAAAGGTCAGTTTTACATTCGTGTTGTTGACTTGAGTACTTACCTGGTTGCAGCGTCATTATAATCCCCCGCTCCCTCCTGGCAGACCTTCCGCCAATGCCAAGCTGGCCAGAGGTAAGTCCAATGCGTTCATTCGACAACATGCTTACTTACTTTGTATAGGCGACCGCTCGAAGATCAAGCTGTTCGCAAACAAGACGGTCAGCTCCACATTCTCGTTGTTGACCTGGATACTTACCATGTTATAGCGCCATTGTTTCTCCCCTCTACTCTTTCGTGTCCACGGACCCAAGCTGGAGGAGTAGGTCAGTCTAATCCGTTAGAACATGCTGACTTACTTTGCATAGTTAAATCGCCTCCGCTTTAGCGTCATTGTAACGCCCCCGTTCTCTCCTCCGCCAACCCCAAGCAGGAGGTAAGTCCAATGCGTTCATTCAACAACATGCTTGCTCACTTTTGCAGAGACCGTCCTTCCCGAATCGCTTCCGCTCGAAACCCAAGCTGTTCTCAAACCTGCAACGCAAGTACGGTGGGCTTCACATTCTCGTTGTTGATTTGAATGCTTACCATGTTATAGCGTCGTTATCTCTCCCCACTCTTTCGCGTTCACAGTCCATTCGCCCCAAGCTAGAGGAGGTAAGTCCAATTTGCTTCAAGAACAAACTTACTCACTTTGTATAGGCCGCCGTTTGCCAAATCGCCTCCGCTTGTAACCCATCTCGTTCGCAAAGCTTCAAGGCAAGTCAGGACCACTTTCCGTTAAATTGTACTCACTTATCAACAGAGCTTGCTCGCGTCGCTGTTGCTGGCCGACACTGCCCCTTCCCGCGGCCTTCAAATCCCACCACTCATCCGCGTATTTTCCCGCCCCATACAATTTCCCTCCTCACCGTCGTTGTCATTTGCAGCGTTCGATGGGGTCTTCAAGTTGCTGTAGGCTATTAACGCCGAGCAGGTCGTCAGAGCTGGAGGAGCTAGCGAACGAGGAGACTAGTTTTGTAGTTCCTCTCACCTTTTCCGCGCACTAACTCTCGTTGCAGGTGGTTCCGAGTTTGCCCAACGGCTATAATTATCAAAAAGTCAGCCAATCAAGCGTTCTTGACGCGCAACAAGCGCGCCTTTTACTCCTTCTCCGCCCGCGTGCTGACCCTCGTTTCCAGGCTGACCGCCCTCTCCCGTTTGCGATTCCCAACCGGTGCGTGCCCAGCTCATTGTCAAGACCGGCCGGCGCTGACTCGTTCTTTCCCAGCATCGATTCGGCGCCATTCGCAGGCTGCAGTAGCAGAAGAGGCGGTCCGGGGCGTGTTAGAGCACAGCGGCAAAGCGGCTGGAGGGCGTAGTTAGCATTCCAGCCACTTTAGATAGATGTCGGCGGCTTGCCGTGGATTGGCGGGCTCGGCGGGCCGTTCGCGGCAGGCAGCGCAATCCGCGCGTCTTGAAGCCGGGCGCAGTCATGTGGTTTTGGGCCGAAGCACGGGCGAGCGGGCTGGTCGGTGGAGCGAGCGGGAGATGAGGGGAAGCGGGAGTGGTTGGTAAGCGACACGTGCCGTCGGGCTACGGGCCCGACAGGCCGATCGTCGCTTCCTCACGACCCTGAGCCTCCTTGCGCTCGCCGTCGTTGGCGCAGCCTGCTGCGTGCCCGCCTAGCTTTTCTTCGTTGCATCGCGCGTTGGGAGGGCGGCGGGGCTATATATATATATATACTTCAGGTCAAGAAGATGAGGCGAAGGAGAAGGGTGGTGAGTATCAATTTGTCCTTTCTCCCTCCTCGATGCACTCGCTGACTCCTACTTTCAGAGCGTGTCAACCTGAAGCGAATCCCCGCCCAGCCCCGGGCCGCCCGCACCGTCACCGCTGTGTCGTCCCACAAACGATGGTGCCTATACCATACGAGACGACAATCTAGAGGCTTGTCGCTTACGAGTTGTTTGGTTGGTTGGCCACCGTGGTGGGACGTGTATGCTATATGCGCTATGTGGCGATGATGAGCGACGAAAAAAAAAATGATTCAAATTCATGCATTCCTTTCGCTTTAGTTCAAGAGCACGAACAACAACACATGAGCAGGATTGGAAAGTACTCCGCACTCAAATTCACAGCAGCTGAATGTATTCTACTTCTCACTATGGAGTTAGACTTGAACCAGCCCTATGAAAGTGTGAACCGTTGGGAGCTGGCCTAAGCGAACCTACTATGTAGTTGGCTCAAACTGACAATGCCCGTCGATAGTGCATGCCTTTCGCTTCATCTGAGTGTATTTTGCTGAGTCGATTCGAAGAGTTACTGCTGAGAGCGTCTAAATCTACTCTATTTCTTGGTCTCGGTTCCTAATAGTACTTGTCAGTGGTACAAACAACAGGTTCTAGCTGATATGGTTCAGAATTCTTCTACAAGTGGTTGATTATAGCTTCAATGAGCATGGCGATATGGTGCAGGGTCATGGGGGCGTGCTCGCCGATCTGGTCAGTCAGGATGAGAGCAAAGTGGCTTTTCATTGCGTATGCGTCGTAGCAGGATTTCATGTTGCGGAGCTCAGGCAGCCCCAGTCCAACCGAACGGAGGAGCCCGATGTAGCCTGCGAGGCTTTCTCGAGGCGCCGACTGCAAGAAGACGAGTAAGGCATTTTCGTCGGTGTCTTCGGCGGGCTGTTGCGCGTGAAAAGTCCGAATATCCAGCGGGTATATGTGCTAATTACCTGAATGTTCACTGGTGTCACAGAACTAAAGCTGTTTCCGGCCCCAATGGACGGAGAGGTGCTAGCTGCCAACTGGGTTGGTTGATTGAGATTCTGAGCTGCATATGGACGAGGCGGAAAAGGATACACAGCCGGCTTTCTTGAGGGTATGCGAGCGCTAATTGTCAACGCCGGGTCGATTCCCTTGCACTAAGTAATGAATCAGTTGCAAGTCACGGGAAAATCAACAACAAATGGACGGACTGCTGGATATTCTGAGGCGGAGAAGGGCTGGAGAGCTTGAGGAGTCCGAGCGTCATCGAAAGCCTGCGCAGACAGTAAGTTGGCGGTAAATTGAGGCCTCAGATATGTTCCGAGTGTGCCAAATCGCGTTTCTCTCTCCTGGACAGCCTGCTCGGTGGAGTCATGACCACTCGATCTCAGACTAAAACCCGATCCAGGCCGCGAAGGCAGGCAACTTCCAGGTGTCGACGCGGGTTGCGCTAATTCATACTTATGAAGGATACTCGGAAGGTCGCCAGCGAGGGCCACATCTCGACTGGTGTCGTCTGGCTCAGCATATTCGTTGCGGAGCGCACGTGTGATGGTTGGGACGGATTTTTCAAAACAGCTCGAAAGGACCGAGAGTGCGATGCCATGGGCGCTGAGGATCCGACATTCTGCCCGTTGCTTGCTGGTCATTGCGCGTCGAGCTCTGCCAGTGGGCGAACGTTTGGAAAACACAAGTCAGGAAATCAGCAGTCTTACCCTCTGGGGCCGCCTGTGGGAGTGGTGCCCACTGGCCTCCGAGTGGAGCGTTCCTGTGGAGGATATTCATCGGAGTCAGAAGGCATGGTGGAGTCAAAGTGAATGAAGTTCAAGTTGGCAGGAACATCGGTGTGATGCTGTGCACGTGCACGTGCAGCTCGCGTCACGGTCAACCTCAGTTAACCTCAAACTTTACTTTAGGCTTCAAGCTCCCAGTCCAAGGCTCCATCCGCAGTCCACACGTGTTCCTACTTTAGAACCAGTCAATGCAAACACTGCCAACCTTCAGCAGCGATTGCCCTCAGGTTTGCCCGCCGGTCAGGGCTGAATTTCAGTGAACGTTTAGTCCAGAAATTGGTATGGAGCGCTCGAGTCCAGAAAAAACCCCTGCTAGTATGCCTTCTGCGTGTCACTTTCCGCGTCGTGGCCTGACGCTGTCGATTCAGAGTCGCAAGACAAGGAGCACAGGTGCTTGCCCGCTTCCATTCCGTTTCTCCAGCGCTCACCCCCACCGTTCACAGCGCTCAAGAATTTCCTATGCTCATACAGACAGCCGAGGGATCTCGCGCCAAACGAGCTTTATGTCGCATCCTGCGTAAACATGGCTGGTCTCAGGCGCGCATCACTCGCGACGCAAACATCTCGTCCGGGTTTGCACATCGAGCCTGGAGGAACGTCAGACAGAAAGGCACCGTCAATGGAGGATATATATATGAAGAAAATCAAGACAACCTGGAAGACGACGATATGCTCGTCGATAATGAACTACTGCAGAAGCTGCTTAGTGGCGAGGCGAAGGCAAAATGCGTCCCTTTCTTTGGTTCCCGAGCTGACGACTTTTCGAAGACGAAGAGTTGCTCTGGGCGAAAGGCTACGGTTTTGACTGAGGGAGAGGACACCGATGACGATGAATGGAAGCCCAATGAAAAAGCTGGCGGAATTCAAGCCAATAGTACACTGGAATCGAACAGGTATTGCCGCACTGAAGCGTCCAGGTAGGCTTCCCTCTCCCGTTGAGCGCAGGAGCTAACATCTCTCTACTACTTGTAGCCCCTCACGAGTTTTAAGGTCAAGTCTATCGCCAGCCGAACGCGCTCTGTCGCGCATCCTGTATGATCGTGGATGGAGAGAGGTGGACATCACGACCATCGCCTTTGGGAGACCACGTAGCACTAGCAGTGGCAATTCACCGGTTTGGAAAGCCATCAAAAATGACGCAGACGACAGATCTATGGACGACGAGAATGTTGATCAGCTCAGACTCGCGCAACTCATCGAAAATGAAGACTCGGCAGCGGTCGCAGCACGGCGTGAAAAGAGGATGGAAAACAGTCGACGCCGCTCGCAATCGACAGGCCAGCGCTCGCGTGGTCCTTATGAGGCATGTCCTGCGATACGACCTCTTCTTGAACTCTTATTCACCCATCATGCAGCGTTCCAGCGAGACCAACAGCTCCCTCGAGCGCTTTTTATCGCAAATCCAGCCCCAGATCGATCTTTCGGCCGATATCGAACTGTTTCGTTATCGTGGCATCTATACTGTTGGAAACTTGCGGGCGGCTTTCAAGCGCGATGACGAGGGTGATTCATGGCAGGCGTTGGTCCATTTGCTCAGAGGTTACGCTGGAGGATACGCGGGGATTGACGACTATCGCCTTTTCGCACTGCAGCAAGCTATCAACAACATTTAAGCCTTACGTCTACGGGTTTCGTCGTGCCCAGGGAATGAAAGATAAGGCCAGTTGAAATACTACTAGTAATGCTTGACAATGTACTCCAGTGAAGAAATGAACTCAGATTGTGATCATTCAATGAGTAGAACAAGGAAGCTTGAGCTCGGCTACCCAGAACTTGTCTTCCAAGCGGAAACGCCGTTGACTGGGAGGTAACCTCGTCGGATTCACAAAAGCGCCGGGGGACAAGTCAGTTTCTCAGACTGTTTCTCACTAAGCAGTAGTGTACTAAGCGTGTTGAGTTGCTTCATAAGTGACTGAAGGTAGATCGTTGGAACGAGGCTGCTATATATATTCACCGATGTTTTGTCGTCCTTCTGGTGGCAAAATTGCATGAGACTCTTCAAAGACAATATCTTGGCCTCGATAGCGTCCGCAGTGAATAACATTGTAGTTGTGGCGTCGGTAGGAGAAGAGAAGACCGTCTGAATCAGCCAAGCCGAACCTCGTGCCGATTTGCGCTTACGGCTCTTGCTTATTATATAGCAACCTCGACTCCCTCTCCTCTCCACCATGGAACCAAGACTGAAGACAGCGACCTGCGCCCGTTGCAAACGACGGAAGATAGTCTGTCGATTCTCCTCAAGCTCTGCTGCCCTCTAAAACGATTCTAGCGTTGCAATGGCCAGTCGCCCTGCATAACCTGCGACAAGATGCAGACACTTTGCGAGTATAACGAGGGGAAAACGACGGGGAGGTCTGCTGTGCCAGAACTGAAGCGTGGAGCGGCATGTTTGCAGTGTCGGTGCGCCTAGCCTTTCTCTCCACATCTACTTTGCATTAACCGTGGCTTAGACGCAAAAAGAAGGTCGGTTTTGGTCGGATCCAAAGGTGAAAATGGCGGCTGACCAGCATTAGAGATGCGACGGAAAGTTTCCTTGCAACACTTGTCTCTTGTCTCGCTCCAAGACACAATGCGAATATGGCGAAAGCGAAACCCAAGACAGTCCTGCAGCTTCGACCTCAGCGTCGTCTTCTCCAGACGCCAATGGACTCTCCTCTGCGTCATCTTCCGACTCGCCCCCACATCCAACCACTCCAGAAGACATCATGATACCTATTCAACAAATGGAGATTCAGGATCCTAGTCCATTTGCGCTGCCTGAATATGTCGTGTGGTCAGATCTCGAGCAAGCGTGAGCCAGAATCTACCAGTTTCATTCACCGACTAATCGTCCTCTCAGTCGCGACTTGTTCATCACAACAACCGAGGAAAATGGCTTTGTAACGCCCGACAAACCACCGCTCTACCCTGCTTTGCCCAAAGACTCGATGTACGACATATCAGTCTCCCATGGGCCACCCCTTCCCGACCCTGAACCTGGAGATGAATTGGGAGCAATGTGCGTGATTTATTTGACAGTTTATTAGTATGTTGCTAACCCACGTTTCCAGTCGCCAACTGTTTATCGCGCATCACACACAACTTGGGCTTAGTGTCTCCGACCGTCTGCTATCCGCTATTGCGACCGGTGACTCTAACGAAGAGCACCTCCATCCCGTTCTGTTCCATGCTTGTCAACTGCTCGGTTTCATGTTGGCCCGCCACCGACCAATGGCTAAACATGGAAGCGACAATTGGGTCGCACTCCCTGGCCAAAGCGAACGCGAAACAGAGCAGATTCGCCTCGCTCTTTCGGCTCTCCACGATACAACCCGCTCTCCTTGTCCCTTCGCCTACCTACAAACCTCCGCCTTACTCAGCACCTACTTCTTCAACAAGGGCGACATTGGGCGGGCCAGGGATATGGTTGCCCATGCCGACAAGCTGATACGAGAACACCGACTCGACTCGTACACCTATTCGTGTGGGCCGGCTGAGCCAAACGCCAAACAGGGATTCCGAGTGACCCCCGTGTCGCCTGTCTCTGACGCGACAGCGGCGATTTCTCAAATCGTCTATCTCGACCTTTCCTATGCTATCATGCTCAATTTGCCGACCCTCCTTCATCCATCGCTGGTTGAGCGTTTCCGAACAATCGCCGTTAGTTCTCCTTCCTAAAGCTTCAGTTCTGACGTCCGTTTAGACGTCGCCCAATCCTGATGCGGAGGTCAACTTCATCAGAGCAAAGAGTGCATTCTTGCTGTGGGAGGCCAGGCAACTGGTCTTGGAATGGAATGATCTAAGTCTGAGTGGGTAATAACGTTGACTCGGGAACTTTGGCTGATAAAAAGCGCAGGTGATGCATGCAAGGAGGCGTGGCAGACGAGGTATTGGCACCTGATGGACGAGCTCGACGCCCACAAGTCTTTCATCACCGTCACCCTTACCCGTGCCGCGTTCTGCCCGAGTCTCCACGTTCTCGGGCTGGCGCTCAAAGTTTCTGTCATCCTCACGCTCACGGGCCTGGCGACGCTTCTCTCCGTATTCGAGCGCGACAACAAGGAGCTGATCCACAAGAAACACAACGCGATTTCGGAGGTGATCCACATATCAAGCATGTTTGAGGAGGGCGACTACATCTACCTCGACCCGATTCTCTCAGTGGGTGGTGGCGGCAGCTTCTTCTGCTTTGTACTCAATGCATCACAGGCTTGTTGGCATGCGGTCATGGGCACAGTCCAGCGCTGTCTCGTGTCGGAAGAGCGGGACCCAACCACCTGTCCGAAAGGGGCAGACATGTACAACGCGTCGCGCATGGCCAACCTCCTCCGCGACCAGAACAGCACGCTCAAACGCGTGCTGCCGTTTGCGCTGGAGATCTGAGTTGTTGAGGTGACTTTTCCCCCCTATATGTAGACTGTGCGTATTGTATACTTTAGCCAGCAGTTATTTGAACTAGCATTATTTTTCCAACTGACCTCGATTTGCGAACACCTAAGTGATACCAAGGAAGTCGTGACAACTTGTGGAATCCACAGCATTAACGCTACAGTCTAGTAGGCTTTATTCACTGTAAGTATCCTCCAGTCATCCTGATTGGCATGCTTAGTGCCGGAGCTTATCGAGCAGAAGCATCTTGTAAATTTGAAGCTCTCAAGTTTGTCCTTCAAGTTCGCTGTCTCTTTTGCAGCTGGGTCCACAGGCCTGAGTGGCCCACATTCTGCTGTCAGTGGAGCGACAGTCGACAGTGATTCCATTGCAGAGCTCAAACACAGGCAGAAAAAGGCACATCTTGTTGGGACATGGGACATACTTCTTTTCTCGGATTCTCGGTTCCAATATCTTCACACGTGACCCAGATAAGTAGTACAAATTCCTATACACTGCCCCATTACTTCCGCTTCGACCCGTTAACAGCCAGCCGGCACCGTGCTCGAGTCCACGTGGTTGGCCGCCGCCGTGCCCAAGCCCCTGCTCGCAAATGCATTCCACAACAAGCAACTGTTGGCGCCGCCAAAGCGGTTAACGTCCGCCTGAATCCATGCCGAGCGAGCGGTGATGACTAGAATACGAGCGGTCAAGACCATGACGAAGGAAAGGAAGGATCTTTACAGGTTGGGTTGCAGGGCTGCAGCGTCAGCGCGTCGAGGAACAGGTGGAGGAATACGATCTGAGGGTATTGATTAGAGAACCCCTCGATCAGATTGAAGTACATACATTGCCCTCAGTTCCGGTCGGGTTCGTCTTTGCGGTTGCAGACCAGCCGTGAGCACCGCTACATCAAGCAAGCGTCAGTCGAGTTTTTTGGACAATCAGACGTGGGGACGGACACCAAAGCGGCATAGACATTGTGCAGAATGTTGGCCCAGACTTCACCGATATCTGGAGAAGGTGTCAATGATGGTACAGCGGAGGTAAAACCATCTCTTACCGTGGACTTCGGTCAGTGTGCGGAGCGAAGAGTATCTCAGCGGGTTGGTCGTCCTATGATTTTGTGTTAGAGAAAGTGAAACGGGCGAATTGAGAGTGCCTACGCGGAGGTACTGTAAGGATGCGACCGGATTCCAGCTATAGATTTACGAGGTCAGCCAAAAATGGTTGCCAACGAGGGAAATGGCCAACCTGGGTCGTCGATGACATACTGCCCCAGAACGAAGTCAGGGACAGCCGAGCTGTTCTTTTCGTTCCAGCTACGGAGAATTATCAGCCCCGCAATGGCCCGAGAAAAGCACAACGTACTTGGCCATGGTATCGGACCACCCTTCTCCCATACCACCGGCTTCCGTCGTTTGCAAGCACCGACCAGTACCGCCACCAGTCATGCGGTTGGTGATGCCATGGGTGTTCTACAAACGACGATTGGTGCAAATGAAGATTTTTTGCTATCAAGACGAACCTCGTGGGTCACAATGTCGTTCTCCAGCGCTCCATCTCGCATGGGCTGTGCACGTGATCACCATCACACCGAAACAAGAAAGTGTGGAAACGAACGGTGGTGAAGTCCCAAAGGAACATGCCTATTGTCCCGTGTAAGGCTTATTCTTGACGAGATACTCAACTTACGCATAGCTCCGGATTGCCCGCTGTCGACAAGTTAGCACCATTTATTGAGCGTCTTCGAAATGAGCAACGTACTCAGGTGGAGTCGAGAAATCACTGGCTCGTCAGTTAGCTTCACAACGACAACAGCATAAGACACTCACGCATTGTCAATCCCGGCACTGCTCTGCACCGATATCGTGACACGGTCATTGCCTGCACCACCCTGAAGAAGAAGAGTTCAGACGAATACCAGAAATGGGACCATGTGTTTGACCTTGCCCATGTTGTTGTTCTGGAAGTTGAATGCAGCCTGTTTCGCGGTTAATGAGATCGCAGAAGCAGGTTATGAAGGCAGCGCACCTCGGTAAACCCGTAGCGATAAGTATAGTCGTGGATTGTGTTGGAGAGGTAGAATGCATTGACACGGGCAGCGTCTTCGGGACTCATTCAGCCAATTATCATGGCATGGACGGCGAGAGACTGACCAAGGTTGGCCTGGACCGTCGGGGCAAGCGTCGGGTCTTGGACGAAATTGAAGACCAGGCCTGAGGCAGACTGCGATGTGACGGAAGACTGTGTGCCCTTGAACGCGATGACATTGTTTCCACTGTGGTTTTGATAAGATTAGAAGAGGGCTTGTACAATAAAAGATCGACTTACGCAGTTGTTGTGGTAGTGGTGGTCCCATCAGAGTGCCAACCGAGAGGACTAGCGAATGTCATAAATTGGACGCGCAAAGTAGTCGGGACCCCACCTCGCTGGATAAAGTTTCAGTTGATAAGTCGTTTAAGATGCTGAGTGTACTTACAAAGCGTGTCCTGAGGATCGGTAAGGACCTCAAAGCCTTGGGTCAGAATCTCCTTGTTGATTGGCAGAACGCGGTACTGAAAATGGTATGAGCCAGTTGTATCCAATAAAAACGATAGCGAACCGAAGCTTTGGTGACAAAGTCAACGACACTGAGAACCTCTCCGCTGTGGGCATCGACAAACGCCTCGACCCATGTGCCGGTTTCTTCGTTCTGGATTTGCATCACATGTGTCAAAGCGACTGAGCCGTCTTGGAGAGCGAGGAACTCCAGTGTTGGAGGATGTGAATTGAATGTTCCATCAAGAGCTGATTCGGCAGCAGCGATGGCAGCATCCAGGGTGACTGAAGGGGTGGCGGAGGGGACTGAAGTGGGTTTGATGAACGATGAGCCAAAGGCGACGACCTGGAAAGATGAGTTGATCATATGGATAAAAAGGATGGCCTCCAACCTTATCATCTTTATTGAAGGCTACATTGGCGACAGCATTGGCAACGGGCACACCATCCTGCATAGCATCAGTATCATGGAAAGAGAGAACCAGACATCCATACGATGACTTGTCGCAGGAAAGCATGGTCGGCTGCCTCTCCTGAAAAGCCGCTTCGGAAAGCGACAGCATTCTTGGCCACACCAAGGTGGGACTGGATGAATGCGGCTGCGCGATCTTCAATTGACACGCCCGAGCTTGTTAACGCCCGGCGGCTGAGTGGGTGGTCAATACCCTCGCCAAACGTCTCGAAAGTCGATTCGGGATGGAAGGTATCGAGCTCAAGACCCCGACCAACAATACGCAGACGATTTGTTGCATGTTTGAGGGAGGGAGGTACGAATGGCGCAGCAAAAGCTCCACTGGTGGCACAAACAATGGCCAAGAAAATGGAGGAGAGGAACTTGTTCAATGCGACCATTGTTGGGGCTCAAGCAACCCGGTGAGCTGTTGTGGGGTTTTAAGCCAAAATACAAGACGCAGCACATGCTGGGTTTGAGATAGTGAAAGAAGAGCGTAAAGCGAAGGGCGAGGAAGCTATGTTCCGCGACAGAAAGCTCGCACGGCAGTGTGGTCTACTGCAGAGATAGCGCAGCGATATCTTCCGATGGGAATGAAGGGGTTTTTGCTCATTGGTTGTTGCTGAGAAAGTGTTGGTTGGAATGCCTAAATTGGTTGAGCCTGTATTGATGAGAACACCAAACGGAGGGGTACCAGACGCCAAGGCGTGCAGTGAAGCACCTAGTGACAGGTCTGACGAAGAATGCGTGCGAAACACGAACGCAGGTCGTGAGTGTGCGCTATTCGGGAAAGTGGTTGATTTTAGACCGGATGAGATTACGTCAGCGGCGATGGAAGGTTTGCACATGGCTGACAGCCATTGGCAGCTTTGGTTCGAACCCTCACGGTGCAGCAATTTATTGTTCTGAAAGTATTCTTTTCGCTTCCCTTACAACTAGATTCTAACATATGCCAGCACAGAACACCAATTCTTTTGGAACTCTGTCTCCTTCAGCAACCAAACCACCAGTGACGTTTTGTCATGAACGAGCTGCAGCTGCCGCCCGAACTGCTCGATGAGATTGCCCAACACATCCAAGGCTCAGCTAATATCGCATCGTGCTGCTTGGCCGCTTCAGTTTTCCGAGACCCGTGCCAAAAGCGTCTGCTTTCGTCGCTGCATCTCGAAAATTCAGCAACAAGCCGACGGAACTTTAGAAGTTACAAAGAGACGGCAGCGCGCTTCACGGAGGCGCCTCATCTTGCCCTATACGTGACTAACCTCACTATCACCTTGCGCTGCTCTGATCTCGACACTGAAGCCGCTATCGCATCGATTTTTACCTGCCTCACCCGGGTTCAAAAGTGTAACGTCGTTGGGACTGGCTCTCGCTCCCAATGGTGTGAAATCCCATCCAAAGTCACGACTCCCTTTGCCGCATGGCTGACTCATCTACCCACTGGTGCTTTACGGGAGATGCGATGTGGATTCCTCCACGACATCCCTCGAGTAATCGTGCACAACATCCTGCGGACAGCCCGCTCCTTCATTTTCATAATGGCCAGCGTGGAGAGCAGTCCCTCGGGGACTGTGCCTGCTAGCCGCCAAGTAATCACGTCGAGAAAGCGCGAGCTGCTCATCATTGAAAGCCCTCAGCTCTATACTGGTCTGGCGGAACCCGAATTTGCTCCATATTGGGGAAATCTGGGAAGGCTAAGCGTCACTGCAAATCGACCATTCTCCGAGCTCTGCGTTGCCGCTACCGAAAGCCTCGAATATCTGACAATCATTCTGTTTGGTACGACTTCAAGTTGACACTCCTGAGTATTTGTCTTGTCCTTAACCGCTTTCCGTAGATCGAATTCCAGAGGATCTGCGCCCGCAAATTGGCTTTACTCGACCGTTATCCAGCTTGAAGAAATTGCATATTCCCCTAGCCGGCGAATCGCAGTTGCAGAACTCGCAAGATTTGACTCTATTGTGGTTCTTTGTCAGCGTCCTTGCGCCGATCCTTCGATCCCCTATTACACCGGTCTTAGAGCAGGTCGTGATATCGTTCAAGCCGACGAATTTCGTCTCCGACGTCGATGAAAACATGGTCTATAGCTTCACACCAAACGCCACGAATCTCCTTAACAGGCTAGATGACATGGTTATACAACACGCCAGCCTTCGTTGTGTTCGCTGGGCAATCCAGCTTCGGGACCAAGCTAGCTTGCGGGCTTTCTCAGATGCATTGAAGCAGCTGCTACCGAAAATGAGCATTCAAGGGAAACTTATCGTTAATAGAACTGAATGAGCGTTAGCTACCTTCATGTTCATAAGCAGGGTGTTTGATGTAATCCGAGTCCATGGCGGATATTTGCTGAGTCCAATTGCTAGAGGGCCAGCCCAGCGACGCTTAAATTACAGCAACCGACTTCAAGGTGCGTAATGCTTATGCGTATTTCTTGAGTCTTTATTATCATTCTGCTATTCCTCTATAGGCTACAGTGTACACCGACCTCTGTTTCTATAGACCCTCTAGGTAAGCTTGACGCTCTCCCAGTTGAATCTGGTTTGACAAGTCAGCACCGCAGATAAGTTCTAGAAGTTGTCACACTAACCCGTCAGGCGCTGTTGAGCATCCCGAGCTCTTTGAACTCGTGAACTGAGGTGTTCCCTTGCATTTGTCATTCGGCCCACCGGACTTGAAGAACTCGATTTTGTTGGGAACACCGCTCCAAGACATGCTGCGAGAACTGCCTCCGTTGGTGAAGAAGACACAGTCACCCGCCTTGTCTCCGGTGCTCGTTCCAATCACGGCGCCAGTGCAGTCCGCGCCAGCGTATCCCTTGACCGTGGCCGCATGGGCAGTCGCGATGAGTGCGATGGTAGTGAAGAGTGTGGAAAATTGCATGGTGGTTATTTCTGTGCTTCGAGTCAGTGCGGCTCTGGTAGAAGTAGAGAGCCAATTTGCCTATGTACCTGTGTGGTGATAGGAAGTTTGAACTGAGGAATCGCGGTCAAAGGTGCTGGGTATTTATCCAGGTGGATGGAATAGCTGTGTAGCCAATAATTCCGCACTCTGCGGTCGTTGCAGGGTACGAAAGCTCCAATAAATGCACTAGGATCGTTCCACAAAGCCACTCAGTAAAGAAAATATGCATTGGACGCTGGCGCTTACTACTTGTTGTGGAGCTCAGCTGCCGTACCAATTTTTCGTACTCCCATCCTACACGGCCAGAATTCCATACCATGTTTCCGGTTGCACTCAGAGTAAGTCGGACTTGTTGGAGTTTGACCCGGCGACGAGATCAAAGTGGAAACCGTCCCGCCCGCCGCGGCGAGCGAATAAGAAGTGGCGCTGAACTTTGCGTTGCACTCCCGTGTCCTGCGGGATGGCTGCTTAAAATCGTCAAGGAGAAGTAATAAACTTCCTTACTGGATGACACGAAGTTTCGTACCATAACACCGCGTTCGAGGTCGTAAGGATATGCAACTCGCCGGGCGGGCCATGATACAGAGTTTTACGCCCTCTCCGGGCCACCGGAGCTGGCCTGAAGGGACGAAGACTGGGAAGACACCGAAGTGGGGCAATCTCCAGAAAATTAAATTAGCAATCATGTACGCCGAGTAAAGGACAAGGTGTAACGCACAACAATTCACGGCTCATCCAGCCAAATGTCCGGTAAAATTCCAAGGCATCAGAGGTCGGTGTTGGGTCGAATCATCCGAAGAGAGCCATTCGCTCAGGTTGTAGCGGGTTTTGAAAAGTTTTTTCATGCCATTTTGTTAGGAGAGTCTATTGCCGAAAGTTGGCCGAAAGCATGAGGAAGACCGCAGGTGGCTGCAACGACCATCGCGCCTGAGTCCAATCTCCAGAACAGTTTCAAGGCGGAGAGAAGATGCGCTTCAAGTTCTGTATGAATATAAAGATGGAACCAGCGCCAATTGGAGTCTGAAAAGACGGACCTTGTGGTTAGACATTGCGGTTGGCAACTCTCTTGTCCCCAGAGGTGAAGGCCGATATGCAAGCCAGTAAGCGTAGAGCCGCATGTAACTTTAGCAGCAAACGCATGACGAACGGAGGTGCGTGAGCGCTCTGGCTCACGCACTTCCTTGTTGGTCAAATCCTGCGTCTCCGTTTTCCATTCGTTCTAAATATGCTTCCACAATGCAGCCCTCATCTCTAGGATCCAGAGCTGGAGCTGGCCCGACGAGAGCAAATATCAAAGTTTGCGGTAAAAGCGAGCGGAAGGTGGCAGTCACGAGACACGTGCTCTGTCTCACACACACTCCTTACATAAGCTTATCTACTCCCTGCTATCTAATCGGTTGCGAGCATTTGAACATTGGATCTGGCTCAAGCAAAGAGTTGCCGACACATAAGTCTATTTCAATACAGTTTTCTCAAACTTTCTGTTCTTCTACTTCAAGCTTATCGCTTTCTCTAATTAATTGCTCGACGTCCAAGCTCTAGGTGAGCTTGACACTCTCCCAGTTGTGGCTAAGTTGCGTGTATCAGCAAGGGTCCTGATGGGAAATCGTGCGACACCCACCCGGCAGGCGCAGTCGAGCAGCCCGAGCTCTTAGAGCTGGTGAACTGGGGCTTGCCTTGGCACTTGTCACTCCCCCCGCCGGATTGGAAGAACTGGATTTCGTGAGGGACGCCGCTCCAGGAGATACTGCGCGTGCTGCCTCCGTTGGCGGGGAAGAGGCACTCGCCTGAGCCCGCGCCGTTGCTGGTGGCGAGAAGAGTGCCGGTGCAGTCCGCGCCAGCAAACCACTTGACGGTCACAGCGTTGGCCGACGCGACAAGCATGACGGCAGTCAAAAGGGTGAAGAATTGCATGGTATGATAGGTTGCTTGATAGTTTCTACATGAATTTAGTCGAGACCGTGAAGGGATGGTTTGTCCACCCACCTGTTCGTTGCAGGAAGACTCGGAGGAACTGGGGAGAAATCGTCCAAGCCGCCGAGTATTTATCCAACTGTGGGTGGAATGGCAGTGTAGCCGGAGAACAATGCGAGCCCGCTCTCCGTGGACTCGTTCCCGCAAAACCAACCACATCCCGCAGTTAGAGTCGTTTTCCGCAGATGGAGAGTCGAAAGCCCTCCCGTTGATCCAAGCCAGCTCCAACGTTGCGAGCAAGGCCCACATGTCATCATGGAGCCTAAGGTCTTTATTGCGGACCTCAGAAACCACAATATGAAGAGGCTTCCGTGCTTCATGTGGCCGTCCTTTTTTGTGTGCCGTTGTAACCGCATTAGAAGTTGTTGGAGCTTCTTTAACGCTCGAACGCAAACAGAGGATCATTCGACACCGAAGAGCTCCCGCAAGCCGCGGCGAGCTGGCATCCAGCAGCGGTGATCTTTGCACCCGCCGCGTGAGCTATGCAAAATGGTTAACAAGTAGTATTTCCAAGAAGCAGTTCGCTGACTGACTTGACAATCGTCACACGAGGACAGCAATCGAGAGAAACCGAGGGCCCAGGTCAGAAAGACCAATACGGTCACATTCAACGATTCGTCGCCTGTTCGTGTTCGTATGAATGTCCCATCAGGGGTGCGACGAGAGAGCTGGCTGATGAAAGTTCAATGCAAAAATCGACCTGTAGGCAATTGAGGTCGTAATTCTCAGCAGAGGAACCATTCGAGTACACACCAAAAGTGCATGCGTTCACAGGGATCACCCCATGGCGGGATACCCGGTCCAACATCTTGAAGTGGGTCGGTCGCTCCGCAATTGCTTGCCTGAGCTGAGAAGCTATCGCACCCCTTCCGCGCATTTCAGATGAGTCCACATAGAGCTAAAGACACTGGCATGGCGCCTGGTCAATGGTTAACATAACTACCGGTCGAGTAAGGTCAATACTAACTTGATACTAAGTTACTAACGACATTTCCGGGAACGATTTATGTGCCACAATGGACCATGACGTCGTCTTGAACTCTTAGACTCGCTCAAAAGGTTCAATCATGACAGCCATCTGCAGTAGGTAAGTATTCTGCTAGAAACGGGATAGCCATACAAGTACTTCGGGGTCGACAAGAACCTTGGGCCAACCACATAACATCTGCGATTTCCGCTTCTGTTTATTGCCCCGTTCCGAGCCCTCCGAGCTCCCAGACGATTGCTGAGAACGACGCCTGAATCGTGGGGTTGAGCGAAGGGTCGTGCCAACACTGGTAGTGGTAAAGATCAGAGGTCTCGTGACCGCAGGTTTTCTCATAACGACCACCATGTTTCCGCCCGAACTTATTATCCACACCATCGTGGAAGAGATTGCGGGTATATCTAACCTCAAATTATGTTCTACGGCTACCACTTCAAGTTCTTGCTAGTTCGCCGCGGCGGGCGGGAAGATTTCCACTTCGAATGATCTCGTCGGGTCAAACTCCAACAAGTCGAACCTACTCCGAGTGAAACGGGAAACATGGTATGGAATTCTGGCTGTGTAGAATGGGAGTACGAGAGTCATTGTACGGTAGCTGAGCTCCACAACAAGTGGTAAGCTCCAGCGTCCAATGCATATTTTCATTACTGAGTGGCTTTGTGGAACGATAATAGTGCATTTATCGGAGCTTTCGTACCCTCCAACGACCGCAGAGTGCGGAATCATCGGCTACACAGCGATTCCATCCGCCTGGATAAATACCCAGCGACTTTGACGGCGTTTCCTCAGTTCACTCTTCTTACCACCACCACACAGGTAGGCAAATGGGCTGTCTACTTATACCAGAGCCACACTGACTCGAAGCACAGAAATAACCACCATGCAATTTTCCACACTTTTCACCACCATCGCACTCATCGCGACTGCTCATGCGGCGACGGTCAAGGGATACGCTGGCGCGGACTGCACTGGCGCCGTTGTTGGGACGAGCACCGGCGACAAGGCGGGCGACTGTGTCTTCTTTACCAACGGAGGTAGCTCTCGCAGCATGTCTTGGAGCGGCGTTCCCAACAAAATCGAGTTCTTTAAGTCCGGTGGGCCGAATGACAAATGCAAGGGAACGCCTCAGTTCACGAGCTCAAAGAGCTCGGGATGCTCAACAGCGCCTGACGGGTTAGTGGCGCAATATCCCAAACTTATCCGCGTTGCTGACTCGTCAAACCAGCTTCAACTGGGAGAGCGTCAAGCTTACCTAAACGATCCATGGATCGAAAAAGAGCTTAGTGGACATGCAGTATAGAGAGATAGCAGAATGATACTACGGACTTGAAAGCAATACAGATATGCGTTCAAGTATCTTGGCTACTTCAAGCTGAGCAGCGCGCCGCGCACTTCAATTAATTTCGCTCCCTATGGGTTGCGACCGCACGCTAGTTTCGGCGACTGGTCACTAGGAACGAGTCTATTCAAACCAGAGTCGGTGCTATCATATTGTTGAGCGTAGAGAACAACCTGATCAAACACTTCTCACCTGCGACTATATTGAGCATTCCCTTTGCCGAGACCCCAGGAAGCTGTTGCCTCACGGCTGCTGCGAAGGGCTCAAAGCATTGGATCGGGTCGTCGCGGGAGTCGAACGCGGCAAAACACTTGACAGACTTTACCATTGGATGCCGCTCAAGGAGACTGTCCAAGCGCATCATTGCGATGGCTTTGGGAAATGTGTAGCGCGCAAATCGACGAGAGCGGTAATGAGCGTCGACATGCGTGATGATATAGAAAGTCAAGGACCGGAACCCGCGGGTGGAAGCGGGGTCTAAGGCGACACGGAGGAGCGGAGAGAACGAGAAGTTGGAGACAAGATTATCATTCATCGGGTGAGAATGAATGGTCAGTCGAAGATGGGTTAGATTCGGGTAATGGGAGGGGAAAATGGAGGGCGGGACTTGGTTGACGTCTAGTTCAAGTATCAGAGTGAGCATGAACGCGGTGGAGTTCGGCTTACTTGTGAATGTAACGCGAAGGCGCTCCAGATTCCGAGCAGTGAGAGCACATAAGGTGACGGTGTCAGCGTTCAACGGTTGGGCGACAAGAGAGCGAATATGGTTGGCCAGAGTTCGATATTCTCGTCGGAGAATGAGCGGTCCAAGACTTGGACTATGCGAAAAATCGAGATGGTGGAGCTCCGTTTTTACGGCAGGTAACGAGGGCGCTGATTTGGAGACTCCTTCCACACTACCGTATGTGATGGTCAATGATCGGGTCATTGTAACCATTCGTAGCATGATCGGGAGTGGTATCATCTTCAGTCGCAACAACACAAGAGTGTCGAGTGCCCCGGAAAGCTGCTCGACCCAACTGAAGATTGTAGAAGTAACTTTCTTGGGTAGATCATTCCAGTTGTGCTTGCAATCCTCTGAAACAGCGATGCTGAGGTGTTTGATGTTTGTGAGAAGGCGTAAGACGCGTATGACGTCGCGTATTGGATGAGAGTCTTGGATATTATCGAGCTCGAGTCTGGTCACATAGGCCGCAAGGTGAGGGGACTCGTCAAAGTGTTCTACAACCTTGGAGGCGGTTCGAGCACGAGCCTGCTCTTTCATGGCAAAGTTGAGGAGGATCTTTGTATGGAGTCGGCGTTGGCAAGGCTGAACGAAGGTAGACCCAGCCAAACAACAGGATTTGAGAGTTGGGAAGTGCGAGACTTCGCTGATGATGTGCTCCACAAGCTCGTAGGGCAGAGTGGAGGACATGGCGGTCGTAAAGCAAGGGTGAGATTATTGATGTGCACATGGAGACCTTTTGACCTTGGTCTTTGCCGAGTCAACATGACCGATTCTGGTTCGCCCTGTGAGGAGCTTGTCACAGCACGTGTCTCTTCCTCCCACATTTTGAGCACCCAGAATCCCTAGGACCCCTTGGTGTGTTTCAATAATGCGCTTCAGCTGCTTTTTTGGCCACATTAGCCACCTTTTCAGCTGCATGACATCTCGACCGCATCTTCTAAAAGGGATTACAACCACTCAAGTTGACTCAACCAATGTCAATGCCTTAACTTCAAGCCAGACATCGAAAAATGGTGATCTCAAGGAGTCGACACGATTCTTTCACAAGTCCAAATCATACACTCTCCGCCATCTCTGAGACTCTCTCTCTCTCGCTAAAACAAAATGTGGTGAATCACGGTCACGGTGAAGCAAGACAATACCTGCCAACGCAATTGCTTTCATCACTGTCGCGTATGATGAGGACAACCATCCCTTATACTAACGTTTGCTTCGGCGTATGTAGCTTTAGTTCCCTGCCGACGAAACCCCACGCAACGCATCGCCAAAGCTCTGCAGCCTCTGCTCGACATGCTGGATGAGATGTGTTCAAGACACCATAGCCTTGAGCGCTTGAGCTTGTAGCATTGGGCAAGTCATATCGAGAACGATGCGTGTTTTCAGGTGCTTGCAGATGGACGCCCTTGCGACAGCAGCCACCGAAAATGACGCGCAAAGGGGGGATTGTGGTCACGGTAAATACCGTTAAACATACATAGAGTGGTCTTCACATCGACTCTTTACTATTTTAATGTAATCTGCGTAAATGCGAATTGAATATTGAATGCGAATATCTGATTTCCTCACTCGTTGATTACGTACGCCAATGATCTTTTTCATCTTCCCCCACCTTCCTTCCTCGCTCTCAGATGGCCATACCACAAGCTCTCAACGACAACGGGTGGCTAGAGGCCCGGCGGTAGCCTTCGGCCCGGTCGCTCTTTTTCCAGTGTGTTTGCTGTCTCCGATACTTTCCCGACGATGAAAAAGTCAGTCAGCAGGTACTGCAGTAGCGGCCCGTCACATGGCCCTCAACGCGCCAGAAAAGCGGCGGTTTGGCGGCGGCGGCCCTCATAAGTATTTGCGATAAATACCACACAAAAATTGCTGTCACTTCCCCCAACGATGTTGACCAGAAACGCGCTCCTGCTGCCGCTGCTGCAATTCGTAGCCACGGTGCTTGCCTGGGACACTTTTGTCGTTCCCCACACGCCAGACGCAGATGACACCCCAGGGTTACTTTCGTTGGTGACCAGCCACCCGGCCAACGCGACCATTTTATTCAGCAAAGGGACGACCTATAACGCTTGGAGTGCAATCAAGTTCCCCGTGCTAAACAACGTGGAGATTCGCATCGAGGGCAACTTGACATACCCCAACGATATCGCAACCATTCAAGGTGAGCAGAGTAAAGCTTTCCACTGTATCAATACTAAACCCGTTTTAGCCATCGTTGGCGCCTCGGTTTGGAATACCTCTTCGCAAGTTATGACCTAATCTGAATAACTTCAGGGCTTCCCCGGCTCGTGGTTCACCTTCTCTGGTGGAAACAACGTCACACTTCGTGGCTCAACGGACCCGAAATGGGGCTGGGTCGATGGCCATGGACAACAATGGTGGGATGCAAATCAGCAGGTCAACCGCCCACACGGTTGGGCCTTCAGTAAGATCAACAATGGTGTCATCCGCGACATGAAGCTGTGGAAGGTCACTTCCGCCCAGAGTCTTGTCCTGTTCGTCACTCACTTTTTACTATTAGCCAATCGCTTGGAACTTCGCGACTAGCGGTGCAGTCAACGTTCACGCATTTGACAATCTCATTCTCGCGTCCTCCGACACCAATGTAATGCTCCTCTCTCTCCTCCCGACTGTGGCTAACAAGCTGTACACAGTCTTTCCCTTTCAACACGTCGGTTACTCCTACTTATCCGCACCCACGCTCAATCTCCACAGTGACGGTTTCTCTGCTGGAGGCACCAACCTTGTCTTCGAGAACAACTACATCGTCAACGGCGATGACTGCCTTACGGTTGGGAATGGTGCCCGCAACATCACCTGGAGGAATTCTTACTGCGAAGGCGGGCATGGTCTTTCGATTGGCTCGCTGGGCAAAGGCGGCTCCGTTGCGGATGTTCAGAATGTCCATATTGAAAATACTGTTATGGTCAGATGATCCCTTTCATCCCTTTCATCGTCCTGATGTTAGTCCAGAAAGACTCGCTTTACGGCGCTCGCTTCAAGAGCTGGACAGGCGGGAACGGGCTGGCTCGAAAGTTTGTCGGTTTCCTCAGATAGAGTTGTGCTGAACTTGCGCAGTATCACTTGGAAAAACATCGCCTTCGACAATGTGATGTTCCCCGTGCGTCTTTTCCCAGTCTGTTGCCACATTCCCTCATCCAGCGCCTTAGATATATGTCACCCAAAAGTAAGTCTTGAGCCAGCCCTCATATTCTCGTGCTGATTTCGCGAAGCTACTGGGACCAAGGCGTACGTATCTATTCTCACTTTCCACTCTCACCAACTCTCTGTAGATTGGCCCCAAGCCGAACACAACGACAACCAACAACACGCATATCCAAGACTTCACGTTTGTGAACTTTGCTGGGACAATCCGAGAGTGCGTCGCCTCAATTCAGAGATACTTCGTGCTTAACACCCACTTAGCACGGGCTTCGTGGAAGGCTCCTGTGTCTCTGACCCCTGCTGGTATGCAGTCCCCAACGCAACCGGCCGCGAAGTCGTCATCCTCGATCTGTACCCCGGCACCGCGAGCAACATTCTCGCCAAAGACATCTTCGCCGTCACCGAAACCGGCCGCCCAGTTGCGGCCATGTGCAACTCCACGACGGTTTGTGAATGCATCCAAACGCAAGGCCGCTTTGCTCATCTGATAAAAAGGTCACAAACGACGTCGGATTCAAGTGTTGGAATGGCGCGTTCATTAGGACAAAAGCAGGGTTATAGGACGACAATAATGATCATACTTTACACGCAAAAGACTTCAGATTTCAATCGACCCAATGAAGAGTCGTCTCTTTCTTCAACTTTGCTCTTGGTTCATAGCCCAATGCATCCATCCGCATCTTCACCGTCCGGTGCAGCTTAACCCCGTCAGTCGATTGCCGTGGAATATGCCTTCCCCGTGCTCGGTGGACGCTGGAGAAGAACGATTAGTCGGGAATGATCACGTGACTCGCAACGCACATTAGTTTTTTCAGCCACAAGCCGCCCCGAGTATGGTCCTGGAAGCGGAGCTGCTGCGGAAACAGCTCAAGTATCCACCACGCTCGCACCCGCTTCAGCTCGTCGTTGATGTCGCACATCGCGTCCATAAAGTCTTCGTCTTCTTCACTGATAAAGTCTCTTGTCCGTTCATCGACCGTGCGATTCAGAGGCTTGTCTCTGTCGTCTTGGGACCTTCTTCTCAATATTCTCTGACTCCAGCTCCTCTTAGACTTTTGCGAAGAAATAGTTGCTGACCCTTCAGAGGTTGACGGGTTGAGCAGAAGCGGCGATGGTCGGGGGAGAACATGGGGGTAGAGCGTGCGAGGCTCGAGACCGGCAAGGCGGAGCATATCGGCGTGGAATATAATCCCAGTGTGGAGCTCAAAGCATTGCCGAATCATCCAACGCAGCGGTATTCGTGCAAGGTAGTTGCGAGTCCCGTTAGGAAGCGCCCCGCCACCGACATCTGTTATACTGTAAGTCAAGTGGCTCATCGCATTCACACTGAAAATATCAGCTCGCGCTGAAGCGCACGCAGAAACCTAGGATCAAACCGGAGTACACCCGATTGGCACGGCTATGCCGGCCCGGTGGACCGCTCCAATCAGGTTCGTTCCGGTTTCATCCCAAATATCTGCAAGCATTTCTGTGCGAGCTGATATTTCGCTGTGATATTAGATGCCTTACCGCAATGTGCTCCGACAAACCAGACCTCTTCGACATGGGTGTGATGATGTTGCGCGTCGCTGTACTCTCTCTCCAGCTGTCTTAACGTCTTTTTCTCGGCCGTCTTTTCGTCGAAAATCTCCTCTTCTTCTACCGCAACACCGTGCTCTTCTTCCTCTGGCTTCTTCGTGGCCTGTCTCCGTGACTTGGGCATCTCGCCATGGCCAACACCCATTGTCTTGTCAAGAAGGGCCCAAAAGTTCGGAAGGAATCGTGCGCGGTGTTCATCAAGGGCGATTGCGTGTCTGAAGTAGCGGACGTGGGTATTCGAACGGGTGAAAGGTAGACGACGGGGGACGAATCCAACAGAAGAAACAGTGTCCCTATCCAATGGAGTTCATATTCAGCAGGATGGAGTGGTATACTATCTTACCAAACTCCAAGAAACTCGATATCAACGTCGATGCAGAACGACTTTTTGAACGCTGTACTCTGCAGTAACGCGTTAGTGAAAAGGTCTTGGGGAAAATAAGCCCTCTAACCTGCTTCCATCCTTCTTCATCGTCGCGCGAATACATGTTGTAGGCGAAGGGAACTTGCTGGTGGTTGCATTTGGGTAGCAGACCGATCTGTCGATGGTTAGACGGGCGCATCGGGTTAGCAGAGTTATGGCTCACTTTGTGCAACCTACGAATATGATTGACTATCAGTCAAGTACCGAAAAAAGACCTCGTACATTCCGGCAAGCGCCCGCGCAGTCTAAAATAGTCAGTAAAATGGAGTGTCTCATCGTGGGAGGACATACGTAGGCGCCGCGAGAAAACCCAAACATACAGATCTTGTCTCCGTGCTCATCTATCTGCCAGGTCAGTCGCCGACGTTGATAGGGACAAGAACGCACAATTCTGCATCAAGAACTCGTAGCCCGCCATAACGTGTGAGTTGAGGTGGCTTCCCAACATTGCATCGACCGCGCGATGGAGTTTGGCCATCCAGGGACGAGCAACTTGGGGAATGTTGTAGGTCCCGATACCAGACTGATAGCATGGGCGTCAAACAGCGATTCGTGGATAGCATTTGTGCTGGTACCTGATAGTACACAAGCTGTTTGCTTGGGTCGTCTTTCTTGAGCAAAGAAAAGAAATTGACCACATTGGAGTTCTAATTCGTTCTTCAGTCAGTACCGCGTTAAAAGAGTGGGTCAAGTTAACGCACGTCGTCGTCAAATTGATCACCGGTCCCATCGAAACAGAGCACCAATGTTCTGTGGTCGTTCGTAGGCGGGACAGTTTCTTCCAAATTAACGCATCTTCTCGACTCCATAGGCGTTGGCGAGGTACGTTTAGGAAAGCCAGAGTACAAGTCGTCGGCTTCGTTGCCGTGGATGAGTGTGAATGTAGGAGAGCGAGGGCTGAGGTCGGACATTGGAGCTTCCATAGTGGGGTCTTGAGAGAATTACGGATTTTAAAGAGCTGGGCGCAAAGGTCAGCAGTAGTCATTGATGATGCACTATCGAGACGCACTTCAAACACAGGTACTCGCTCCACCAGCCGGTGAAGCGAGGAAAAATGGCAGTGACAAGCAGCGTTGGTCTTTCACCCACGTTAAGGGCTTATAAACCGAGAAGCTGGATTGGTGCCACATTCTCCTCAATTCGGGCTGTCAGCGATAAGCGCCCCGCCGGAAAGGAAGAAGAAAATTGTAAGTACTTACTTAGAGAAGGCGCTCTTTCGACGCGTCAAGACAGGCTTCGTGGGCTATACCGAATTAGCATCTGGCCCGGCGGCTCGTGAGCCTCGTGAATGGAAGTGGGCTCCACAACATCACGGTCGAATTTCCAACTATGGACAACGCCGTTCTGGGTGACGATGAGCCAAAAACGAAGAGGAAAAAAAGGAGAGTCTTACCACCCAGCGAGCAACCTGGGTTCGCTGGTAAGTAGTTGGATCCAGGAATAGAGTGGAAGTTGACGCTTGTGGGTAGTTCTGGCCGAGCAAGCCGGATAATTGAATCAATCTTGTGGCAAGGACGACCGACAGCGAGCATGAAAACGAAGAGTCAATCTTGGCGCGTGAGTTGCCGCTTTTCAATAAGGCACTGGAGTTTACCCATCCAATGGAAAAGCTTTGCAGCTCGCAACAACGTGGGTGCGGGCCGGGCTATGGCGGCGCCAAACCGTCGTGGCTCAGAACGAAGTTGTCAAGCGGAAAAAATGCACGTGAGACGGCTGACGTAATCACATGAGGAAAGACCTGGAATTTAAGAAAGCAGACATGCACTCCTGGTACAGACATCCTATTTTCTCTTCGAGCTGATTTTCAGTCTCGTTCGCCATCTGTGTCCCTGCTCATCAACCATCGATACACCCGCCTTGAGAAACCTCTCAGCTGCCCGTACCCAGCCATTCTTGGCAATTTCGCGTCTAGACAGAATGAGCGTTGCCCGTGGCAGAAGAGGGTTGACGTACGCTGTCGTCGGCCACGACATGCCTTCCGAGATCACTATTTCGCGCAAATTCGGAAGCGACTGGAGAGAAAAGGCGAGGAAGTAGTCGATCCATGCTGTTTTGAGTGCCTTAGAGCTAGCGATGCATTAATGACATGACATCGGAGGGTGAACAACGAGAAATACCGAAAGTGGAACAAGAGTTGGAAGTTTATGCTCGTCAGTGTTGTGGTCGGCTGGCTCGCGATGAGGTCCCCTTCGCCCAATGGTTTGTCATCCTTCTATCATCAATAGTGAATCAGTGGAACGAAAGCAACTCACAAAGACGGGAAATAAAAGCGTTAGAGAGTGCAAATTTGGGCACACATCTAGAATGGAGATGTCGGCCACTCGCACGATGTGAGGCGCTATTTCAAGGTGAACCAGGCGGGCTCCATGCTGGCGAGTGGTCCAAAACTCGCGACAAGGAACGGGGCATTCGGGATACACAGAGAGATGGGTCAGAGATGACAGGCTAGCAGTCACCGATGAGAACTAAGTCACTTTCAGAATAGAAAAACTTACTCGAAATTGCATAGGACATCAAAAAATGAGGGGTCCGCGTTATAGACTTGCATGCGAGAGAGTGCTCCGAGCGAGTCTTCCTTGACATCAGATGAAATGGCAACCGGCTGTTCAGACCACCAATCGAGTGTTTGCAAGGCCTCAAAGTGCTCAAAGACATCGGCCTCGAGCGGGGTCAGTGCACTAAAGAGAGCAGTCGACAGTTCGACGAGACATGAGCCTGAATTGATAGCGAGGGCCCAGAAGGCAGCGCGGGAAAGGGTGACTCCGTGGATTAAAGTGGGACGGCACAGCCAGAATTTCCGGAGCGATGTTGCTCTGGAAAGGACCGCCACCATAGCGCTACCATCAAATGCACAAGGGACTATCTCCGCTGCTTCTGTGTCTGAGTCGTCGTCTATCAAGCCGAGCCTGCGATCGGGGTCGTTTCCAATGGTTTGAATTTGAGTGGCAAGTGTAGGATGTCTCAAAAGAACATGAGTAAGCCTTGCAGCGCATTCTTCGGTCCGGAATACGACATGAGTGTAGTAATGAGGAATTCCTAAGGTCTGCATGATTAGATCAGTCATGACGATTATTTGCTCACATAAAACTGTCTGGAGACGCAGAGAAGGTGCGACGAGTCCTTGATTATTGCTCCTTGCGCTCGTTCAGGAACCCGCATCGCCCAAAACAAGATCCGCGACCAAAGAGTGTTTTGGACCTCGATTGGCGCGGTCGCAAACGGTCGGAACGTCAGATATAACGGTTCTGGTGGAGCAGAGGGACTTCTGTGCTCTTGTGTCCTGAGGTGGAGGTGAAAAGAATGGTCACAACCAAGAAAACCACTGACCTGCTATCCTGCTTGATAGTATACTTGATTGGTGGGTCTACTGAGGCCAAAAAATCTGCGAATTCATGTAGGCGAAGATGGAGGTTGTTGACGAGAGGCTTGGTGATTACAATTTCGCGCAGTGGACACGGTTTAAGCAGTTTTTGGGCTCTCTGGGCATCATAGACGCTTTCGACTACGACAGACTCGATTGAGGCAACCAAGTTAAGAGAATCCGAGATTGCGGCCAGTCGTTGGCGGCATTGCCAGTGAGAATATTGGAAGACACGCTGATAGATATTTTAAAAAAACCGCTGCAGGAGATGTAAAGCATGAGTATGACACACCAGTTTCTCCCAGCCTTTTATGGCTTTTATGACCGCCTGAACCAGATTCAAGACCATCTTGTTCATCATAACGCGGTCGGGCCGCTCAAAAACGATGAGGCGCGTTGGACTGATGAGTTCCAAGCCCTTGCAGAGTCCATCCGTGTTATCGCCCGTGAAGACCTCGAAGGTCAGGTAAAGGTCCGAAATGTTGGGCGACAGTTTCAGGATGGTATGCATGGAGGGGCCATAACCGCCATCCACTCGCAGCTTCTTGATGAATCCACCGAGCTGCTGATTGCTCGAAATAGCGTCGGCCAGTGCTTTTGCTTGTGCTCGGGAGCGGAGAACGACGACATTGTAAAGTAGCACAGTCGCAACCCTCAGCCAGCTCTTGCAGACGAGTAAGTAAGCGGATTTGGATTCGGTGTAGGCAAATGGCAGGCTGCCAATGTATGCGAACTCCTCGTCCGATACTCTCAAAGCTGGAGTAAGGATTTCGGAAAGGAGCTCGTCTGGAAGTGACATATGATGTGACTGTCACAGTCGCGTGACCCCAAAACTTACATAGATTTTGCCAACCTTCTGTCGGAATATAAAGGAAGCTCAGTCTTAGCTTACTCTGTGTCCTCAGACGCCAAACTAACAAGTTTACCGGGCAACAACTCAAACTGCACGACTCGATATCGATCAACCAGGACAAATCGAAGAGTCGACGAAGACACCGTCGTTACGCTCTGTCTACTGGCAATCTACCGGTAGAGGGGCAAATATTGGGTTAAAACAAGCACACCTTTAGTTCCTTGTAATCCTCCGTGTGCCGCCAATTCAACAAGCCCCGCTGGAAGGCATAGCTCATTCCCTGCTTCAGAGTTTCCACAATCATCTCGAGGGTCTTGGGGCGGCCTTCGTATGGAACCCGGGAGTGGAATACCAGCAGCCACGAGCATATCGGGGCACGACCGCCTGTCGCAATCCGAAGAGCCATCTTGTCGTCAAACTGCTGCACGAAGCTTTTGAAGTGGTACAAATCCATTTCGTTGGTGGACTTGATATTCCATGCTACCTTGACGGTGATCAGTTCGAGCTGCGGACAGCCCGTCGAGGAGAGGAGGGCAGACAAGAACCGCGGTCCAATGTTCAGATAATGGCCGAATTCAGAGCTGACCTGCAGTTGGATGTGTCGAAGACAGGGCAATGCGGGTGGAAGTGATAGTGGGCGATGTGTCGATTCGCCGCGTATACGTAGCTCTGGAAAGGGTTAGCCTGTCATGGACTGGTGGGAAAGGACAAACCAGTAAAGTCGAAAACGAGGTATTCAAGGGTCTTTGCAGTGATACTGCACAGTTCATCGTCGCCGTAGGCAGAGCTCGACAGGTAGGACAAGCCGCGGAGCGAGCCTACTACGAATGGAGAAAATTCTGGTTGAAGGAAAAGGTCGTAGGCGTTCGAAGTGTGCAAGAGTTCGAGGCTTTTCAGGGGCTGGATGGTAGTGATATGCTGCTCCGGGTCGTCAGATTTCAGGCGCATATAATCCAGAGCATGGTGCAGTTTGATATGCTGTACACTCGAGAAAAGCTCCTTTAGGATGAGCACAGGCATATCATGGAAATGAACAAGTTCCAGGCTGATGATTTGTCCACGATGGGCAGCTACGAAGTCGCGGGCTGTCTTCAGACGTTCAAGCCCACGAAGTTGTGGTTGCCAGCCGTACATAGAGTCGCCATGGATTTTCAGATGGCGGACGGCTGTCAGGCTTTGCAGGATTGTCTCGATTGTTTTGTAGATGTCATGGTGGTTGTTGTCGTCGTAATCCTCTGCTTCATGCTGCTCTTTGTCGTAGAACATTTCTATCGTCAGGTGCTTTATATAGCCAGCAAACCGCGGATTGCTTTGGAAACGCTCCAGAATGCCTTCCGCGCCAAAAGAAGCGGACGAGTTTGGTCCTCCCTCATAGGTGACGACCAAATTACTAAGCAGCGCTCGTTGGCTGGGCTCCCGAAATGCAGAGTGAGTCAGTGACAGTTCGCTAAGCGCCCAGCTCTCTCTGTCTGCGAGCAGGTTTTGGGTAACTTGGGTAATGAGCTCTGGTGGAAGACGAAGGACAGGGCTAGGAGACATGGTGGAACAAAGTCAAGACCGATTGATCTGAGTCACACAATTAAAGCTCTGCCTTAAGGGTTATCATTGCCTTGAGCCTGACATTATAACGAACTTGGTTTGCATTGGAAAACGATTGTACAAAAAATGATACACAACTGTGGTGCGGTTAGCAGTGGATACTTGACATCTAGAAACAACGAGCCTCTATGCGAACATGGAGTCCTCCGCCCATGGGCCGCTTGCCCCCGCCATCGCATAGAGGTCCTCCTCTGGCCCAGGCCACATTCCGCCACCATCTTGGCCTTTGACAGCCTTGGTGATAAACTCGCGACTCCGCGCCATATCCATATCCAGCCCCTCCAGCAACGCACTCTGGGTTTGTGCAGAACGCAACACGGAGTCGACTTCTTCCCTCGAAAACTGTGGAGGCGGGTCGGAGAAGGTAACAGTGCCCGAAGCGGAAATTTGGGCAAAGATCTCGCCGGCTTCGATCTAGACGACGGGTTATACATCGTTGAAAGCCCGAAGAGACGAGGCACGCACCATGCTCAAAAGCAACGATCTCACATCGTCCTCGCTGGGTATCCCCACCAACCGAGCAATGTCCGCCAAACCCAGAGCAACATAGGTTGCTGTCAATTTCCGCAACGTCCACCTAGGAGCACGCTCGATCGCCTGTTGAATCAGCCCTAAATTTTTGTCTGCAGAAAACAGCGGCTTCTCCTTGTCGACGAGCCCATGCAACTTTTCGATGTTTTGCGGGTAAGCATTGATGAGCTCGGTGTAAACTGAGTTTTTGAACATGCGAGGCAAGCTTGAATGCGCATATTTGGGAAGCGAGGTCGTCTCTCCGCGCGAGATGAGTTGGACAAGTCGAAGCTTCTTTAGTGCCTCAAGCTGGAGTGCCGCGGGCGCTGATCCTGGCGCAGTCACACAAATCTCAAAGTATTCCTCCGCGTCCGCCCATCTTTTCAGCATTGCAAGGGCCACGCCACCGAGATAATGATAGACGAGGTTGTCGTTATAAGTGAGGTCGGACAGGAGAGTTGAGACGTTTGCAATGGGAGTGGCGAGAATAGGGAGGGCAGCACTAGGCTGGCTAGCGACAACGCAGGCCTTCGAACGTTATTAGCGGCAGCTATAAAACGCGTTGCAAGCACTAACTTGCAGGAAAACAGGATGGATTGTGGTGAGATATGATGTGTCGGGTGGGTAGCGGGTGAGAAGATTGAACAGCGGCTGGACAGCCCACGACGTCTATGGAGAGTGAGATTGACCGCAGCATACGAGCCAAAAGGAACGCACGCTGCCATTGGAGAGCCCATATCGATAGATTCCCTTCGCCAACGCCGTCACTAAAGAATATCAACTTGTCATAGGCTAAACGCGATGGCTATTTCCACAAACCTCGTTCTGGGGCGAGACGGGCTTGTTCAGGTAGGAATGTGGCGCAAAATGTGGTTATGACCTGGGGATGTACCGCAATATTGGTAACGCTCAGTCGAGCTGCCCTGAAAGCGTGATGAGTAATCGACCAAGTCATTTGAAAGAGCACGCACAGGATATAGAGTACTCCGAGAGTGTTTTGCGTGAGGTCCAGTATGTTCAAAGGATCTTGACCACTCGCAAGCGGACTTGAAAGAATAGTGTCCCTCGACTCCTTGGGAAGACCAGTTTTCAATGTTTGATGCAAGGTATTGAGATTAGTTGCGGTGGTAATCTCCTGCAGGATGCGGTCGAGCGACATGTCGGGGGCCATGCCAGGCGCTAAGGAGTCAAATGTCGTCAAATGGCGGTCGATGGGGTTTATTGAGACTCACCAAGGAGATCCTAGCCGGTTACAAGGTTTGGGTTGTTGAACGTGAGTTTCTTTTCACGCCAAAGATGATCGTTTCGTCGATCTGAAGAGGAAGAGGAACGTCGCGTGAAGGCAGGAGGGAGAAGTGACACGTGACGTGACCTGACGTGACAGGTGGTCAAGACCGTTAGTCATGTTGACTCGACCTCAAGCTATAAGTTCTATGCCCATGGAATTCTTGCTACACGACAACCATGTCCTCCACTATACCTTACGAGCTTGTGGAGCCTATCATTAACTAAGTCTCGCACTTTCCAACGCTTAAGAACTGTTGTTTGGCTGGGTCTATCTTCGTTCAGCCTTGCCAACGCCGACTCCATGCCACCCTCTCTCTCGATTTTGCCATGAGAGAGCATTCTCGGGCTCGAACCATCTCAAAAGCCGCAGAACACTTTGCTGAATCCCTTCACCTCGCGTCATATGTCACCAGACTTGACCTCGAAAATATTCAAGAGTCTCGTCCAATCCGCGATTTCTTGCGCGTCTTACACCTGCTCACAAACGTTGAACACCTCAGCATCGCGGTTTCAGAGACTTACAAGGACAAGTGGAATGACATACCCAAGAAAGTCACTTCGGCGATCTCCAATTGGATTGAGCAACTTTCTGGAGCACTGGACACTCTTGTGCTGCTGCGACTGAGGATGATCCCATTCCCGATCATGCTGCGGATGGTCACAATGACCCGCTCATTATCTATCGTGGACAGCAGTTTGGAAACCCCCAAATCAGCCCCTTCCTTACCGGATGTCAAAACCGACCTCCATCATCTTAACTTTGTGCGGAGCCCAAGTTTTGCAACGTTCATCCTCCGACGAGAATATCGAACGCTTGCCAATCATATTCGCTCTCTCGTTGTCCAACCGGAGGATAATGACACTGCAATTCTGTGCTCACTCGTGGCCCCGAATATTGAACGCCTTCGCATTACATTTATGGGCAAGTTTGAACTCCACCATTCTAATCCTATTTCTGATACTTTCGGTAGAGGTCAACAAAGTGCCGCCCTCCATTTTTCCCTCCCATTGCCCGAATCTGACCCATCTTCGACTGACCATCCATTCCCACCTAATGAATGACAATCTCGTCTCCAACTTTTCGTTCTCTCCGCTCCTCCGTGTCGCCTTAGACCCTGCTTCCACCCGCGGGTTCCGGTCCTTGACCTTCTATATCATAACGCATGTCGATGCTCACTACCGCTCCCGACGATTTGCGCGCTACACGTTTCCCAAAGCCATCGCGATGATGCGCCTGGACAGTCTCCTTGAGCGGCATCCAACGGTCAAGTCTGTCAAGTGTTTTGCTGCGTTCGACTCCCGCGACGACCCAATCTAATGCTTTGAGCCCTTCGCCGCAGCCGTGAGGCAACAGCTCCCTGGGGTCTCGGCAAAGGGAATGCTTGACATTGTCTCAGGTGAGAAGTACTTGATCCGGTTGTTTTCTGTGCTCAACAATATGATAGCAATAACAGCACCGACTCGGGTTTGAATGGGTTGGCTCGTGCCTAGTTGGCCAATACAGAAACGAGCGTGCAGGGAACAAAATCATTCGATTTTTCTACCAAGCGGAGTGTTCTTCAGCGGCGCTAAAAACTACGCTACTCGTACAGTATCTGCATGTCGTCGGCGACTTTTGTTAAGAGACATATTATAGCTGGTCACGGAAGGAGGGAAAAAAGGATGAGAATGAACTATTAGTCTTTCATCCACTATCACACTCGACTACCAGCAATCCTTTGGCTACGGTCTTGGGTAAGGCGCTCTGTAAAGCTGCTAAAAACGCGCTTTCGGCCGAGGCCGCCTCTTCTCCAAGCAACCATATGCTCGCAACCCAGAGTATGGTGGGTGACTGGGGGTGAGCGTCGATAAAAGCATCTAGCTCCGACAAAGCTGATGTCGTCAAGCTATCAGAGCGTTCATTGGGATCTTCCATGAAGCGGACCTTGATTGTGATGTGAGCGAGCGATGGGGCTTTTATGGGGGGGAAAGATCGCGCAATAGTAGTGCAGCCATGATCAAATTGCGAACGGAAGGTGCCTGCATCAATATATGCCACTGAACCAAGTTGACATTCGATTCGAACTGTGAGCTGACGCAAATGTGGCAATGAGTCTAGATCTGGGAGTACAAGTGGTTGACGTTGGTCTGCTATGCTCTATGTGAGTCATGGTCGCCAGCGGTCCGTTTTCTCTGGGACTTACAGGTGATATCAAGGTCCAGACGCTGAAGAGTATTACCAACGGCGAGGCATAGATGTACGACATCGCGGGGAATGTTGAAAACGGTGTCGATGGAAAGATGGCGTAGAGTGGGAATGCACCGTTTGAGCTCCGGTTGCAGCAGGATTTTAGCCACACCGTTGCTTTGGTCCAAGCCCAAGTGTCGGAGGAGGGAATTTTCCACGAATTGTGCCTTCGTCTGACGGTCCGCCAAATTTGTAGATGAAAACGTAGCGGAAGAGACGAATGGCAGGATGTGGTAGATGATTGAAGGCGGGACCTCTACCAGGAGCGACATTCGAATATAGCGAAGAGATCCTCGTATATGGAGTAACCATTCGAAGAGTACCTTTTGCATGCTTTGAGGAAGAGCGCCCCAAGAGGCGTCATGATTGAACGATGGACCCCCTCCTTCCATACGGAGAGTCGCCACACGAGTGAATTTGTCTAATACTAAGCCCATAGCCAGCGCACATTCTTCCGGAGATTCAGATTGTCCCTTCCGAGTGTATGGAGATATTTGGAGCAAGACTTCCCGAACATAGCCGCCCAGATGAGGGGACTTTGAAAAATGGGCTACAGCGTCTATCCACTGGTTAGAGTTGACACTGAATTTGAAGACGCATTCCCCGTAGAGCCTCTCTTGGCAGGGGGAGCAGAATTTGGAGCATACAAGGGATGTCGTCTTCAGAGATTTCCTGCCCTCAATGTTACTAACGATGAGCCGCGTGAGTTCCGGAGGGAGTTGGTCCATGCCTTTGCCCTTGCTGAAACCCGCCGAGACCGATGGCACTGTCTGGCTACGGGAGCGGCAACGGGGATCGAGGATGAGCAAAAGGAGCGTGAGGAATTCTAAAAACTAGAACGTGACTGACGATCGGCGCTGGATTACGTCACCATACCTCGGATTTCTTTCCTCCGCCATGCCGGTCGACCCTGAAGCTCAACCAATCTCCTCGTCATCCAAGGCATCCAAGGCAACAAATTCAGCTCATGGTCCACCCAAGACTAAACGTCGACGCCTTCCGAATGCCTGTGATATATGTAGAAGGCAAAAAGGTCGGCGCTCCTTAAATAGCTCACAACAACTGGACTGAATGGCATCCAGCTCGATGTACCACGACATCTTAAACTTTCTTATTGCGCACTAAAGCTCCCTGTAGGCGATAGCGCGGAGATGCCAGGTGGACGATGTTCGAACTGCATTGCTTTTGGGTCAGAGTGCACACATTCGTATTTGGGGAAAGAGGCACGTTAATTCTCCCAGTCTGACTCTAAGATTCACCTTGTCCTTTCAGATTGGAGCTAGAACTATCGCGAGCTCCATCCCCCAACGATCTGCCAAAGACCACATCTCTGCCATCCTCTCGGGCTCCCAAGAATATACGACAGGAGACTACCAAGTCCTGGTTGCCATCGCGCAATATGCAAGGAGGCTTGAAGAGGCCTTTAGTATCAAGACAACTCTCGCAACACCCGAAGATGCAGCTGCTTCACCAGCCTATCCATCACCAGAATCATCCTCCGGCGAAACCGACGGCGACGGCTCGTTGGACAGCGACGATGAGGGAGTGCTTCTGGACGAGAATGTACCCGACAGATTGCGCGAAGTTGCGCGAAATGCGTCTACCAATCGATTCTATGGACGGTCAAGTAGCATCAACTTCGTCAAAGCATTAATGCGGGTCAAAATTGAAGCAACCGGTGAGGGAATAGCTCCTCGGGTCCAGTGGGCGCGTCCTCAGTTTTGGGGAATAAAGCCTGTTCGTGTTCTTGATTCACTCGACCTGACTCTGACTCAGTCGCTAGTGGGAGCGACCTACCGAGATTTACGTGCCTCAAATCTTCCCCGAACCCGACCTCTTCGACTCCCTCGTGAAGCTTTATTTCCTTCATGTCAACCCTCTCACGTATATTCTCCACGCTGCTACTTTCCATCGCGCTGTTGCTGCCGGTCTTCATCTGGTCGATCAGAAGTTCGGCTCTGTCGTGCTCGCTGTGTGTGCGATTGGAGCTAAGCTGTCTAACGACCCACGAGCGCTATTGGAAGGAACCGATGACTGGAACAGTGCTGGATGGAGATGGTGGAGCCAAGTCCGACCCATACCAAAGAGTTTTGTTCAATGCGCGACTTTGCATGATTTGCAGCTTATCAGTGTTTGTGAACACTGTCTCCGTTGATTTGTCTTAATCATGTTCTTATAGCTCGCCGCGTTCTATTTAGGCTCATCCTCGACACCGGAAGTTTGCTGGACAACAATCGGTGCAGGGCTTCGAATGGCAACAGACGTTGGAGCTCATAAACGTATGCGGTCCAGTGGAGACACCATTCGATCCGAGCTCTACAAACGAACATTCTGGACGCTGCTCTGGTCGGACGCTATCATGTGTAACCTGTTGGGACGGCCGCGAGGCGCTTCTTGGAAGGAGTCGGTCATATTGGTTGCCTTCTAACGGTTTGATTGACGGTTTCCCAGTATCGATCTGGACTATCATGCTGTTCTCGAAGGAGAAAATCCACTGGTTCGACCATATGCCGCGTGCCTTATCAAGTTGCTCAATATCCAGGCCCAAGTCCAAGACATCATCGTAAGACTTTCCTTTCGCCGTTTTGTCTATTTACCATTGCCGCAGTATGGGTCGAAGGACGCGCAATATCGCCAAGGAATGGTTTCTGAACTCGAGTAGGTGTTTTCGATTGCGGTTTTCTCTGGATAACTTGGTGTAGCTCCGCTCTAAATCAATGGGCCGATACTATTCCTCAAGACTGTGTGTCTCCATCCGCTTCAATGCGTCGTCTCACTTTCTTCAGTACGATGGGACCCGAGTCAACCGGATCCAGTCCAAATGAATCAATCTGCCGTTCTCTATACTATCTATTATGTGAGTGGTACAACCTTCTTTTGCAAGCATTGACCGTCGTCGCAGCACAGTAACGGTTTTCCTTCCTGCTATGGTATCATCGTCTTTGACCAAGTTACAGCTCAAATCCATCTCCATCGCCCGTTCATCCAACCGAAAAGCCCTTCGTTATCGGCTGTCAGCGAATATTTTACAACTTTTTTAGCCAAAGACTGACCCGACGACAGACCTCATTCCCCTCACTGGCCATATGCTGGAACGCAGCAAGATCGTGCGGGCATGTGATGGAAATGCAGTGCAAGAACGGTCTGGGGTTGCTTTGGAGCCCGCATGTCATGGTATTGTATCTTTTCATTTGGGCTTGGGAGACTGATTTGACACAACCAGGGTGCCATGTTCGACTCCGCAACCGTCTTGCTCATGAGTGGCTTCCATCAATCGCGGCCGACGACGGACGAAAATCTCTTGCGATGCCTGAAGGTTTTGCGGCAGTACGAATCGCGTTGGCACACAGCTGGTCAGATGGTGGACATCCTCCAAGGGATGCTGGAGGTCGACAAGATGCCTGCCTCCCTCAAGCGCTCGCGAAGCACTGAAGACGAAGCAGACTATGTCGAGGCGACCCCGATCAACGCGCCGACCCAGCTTGGCCCTATTCCGGCCATCGAGGAGCAGTTTTACATGCCCTTGCGAACAGAAGACCTGGGGCGACTGCCTACATACCCGCAGTATGACGTGGACTCGTTTTTGTTCTACCCGGACGCGTTTAATGCGCTGCAAGTCATGAACGCCAATAGCCCGGAGCAGAATGGTCAGCACGATTGCGAGAATGGCTTTGTTTTTGGCTAACGATGGGCAGATTATGGGTTAAGCGGGGCGTCTGCGGGTGTGGATACTAATGGGTTAGCTTTCTTTGTTTTTTGTATTTCGAAAGCGCTGACGAATGGGTTGGTTAGGTGGGACGGCTGGACTACGTATCCGAATGGCTATTGAAATGAGTATTAGACATAGAAGTGTTGTGGATGTAAACGGAGGACCATTAATGTTAGCTTTATCACTCAGACTGGCCCTAGTGCTTGACAGTCGGAGAATGGTTATGGCCGCAAGGCGCGCCAAGGACTTGAGTTTACAGTCGTGGTGCTTATCTGATCCTCATTGTTTGCACGAGGCTTCACGGAAATGAAACGATGCCGACAAATGAGGCTGTTTGGGAACTTGAGTCAGAAGCGGAGACCCTCGAGGGAACGTTAACGAACGAGAACGGTAGAGTCAAGTATTCACACTGGCAGACGGAACTGAATCGACGGGTATAGAATATTTTCCTTTGCTCACTGACAAGTTTTACGGGTGATAACCTTGGAATTCTTGGATCTCAGCGCCCACCTGTCAAGAATTAAGGGCCAAACGTCACGAATCGGCATCGCCCTACATGCAGGAAACATAAAGGAGAAACCTTGTCGACTTCACGACACTACTAGTAGCAGTAACCCCCTCGAAGCTATTCTGCGTTAGAGCCAATGCTGACGAGGATTCTCCTGTGAGCTTCCCCTGCTCCACAAGCTGGTTTCGTCAGTGACGTGGACTGCAGTATAGTGGGTCTTCTGGTGCTCGTGATTGTCGCGTTCGTGGTTCTGGTGGTCGCTTCTTCCGAACGACGAAAGCGGAACGACAATAACGAGGTGCTGGTTTCCGTCTGGAGGAATGAACGAAGCTGACAACACACACAGGTGCTTCCAACAGTTCGGTTGGAGGTCAAGCTGAGTTCGGAGGCTCGTCTTCCGGTTATTTGGCTCCAATTGTTATTCACGACTCGAACAGTTGGATGAGAAACGAGTAGCAAGCACGACCGCGTCGAAAACAGACTATTCGGCGCCGCACGTAGCGTTGCCAACACCCGCAGTCGCCTATGGCATCCGTCGATGATGAGAAAGCATTTCTTGGAATTCGTCCACGGAGAAGACTCAGATTCCGTCAATACCTGCCGATTGGGAGAGTATGGTCGAGGGCATCGTGATGAGAAAGAGTACTAGTTCAAGAGAATAGGATACATCGTACTGAAGGTGTTTCAGTCAGTGTCAAACGAAACGAGCAGTTTCGAGCTATTTAAGGAGTCTCCCTGTTTGTTCTCGACATATATCGCAGGCATTCGGAAGACGACGACGTTTAGTTTTGGATGGGCCAAGAGCTGTTGCTTTAGAGATGAGGCAACTGGTTCGTTGACTGGCAATTGCGGAAGAAAGAAACCCGAAGTCTGATGACGTAACGAGATCACTGCCCTTTTGACTCGACTCCTCCCTCATCTCATGGACCAGCTTCCTCTGGAACTACTTGTGCTCATCATCGATGACATTCGGGGTATCAAATCCTTGAAAGCAGCATCCCTTCTGTGCTCCAGATTTCGCGACCCTTGTCAGAAAAAACTCTACGAGGAACACACCATCAGATTTGGCGTGCATACCAACGACTGGATCGACGCTGCTACTCATTTCTCGAAGGCTCCTCATTTGGGCCGCTATGTCCGGCAAGTCTTACTTCAAATATCTCCCGTTGGGAAGCCCGACTCTGTGGAGGAATGTGCATCTGCCATGAGCTCGGTATTGGACAGATTCACTCGTGTCGTGACCGTTCGCATGGAAGGAGGGAACCAGTCGCTTGCCCAGGAAGCCTATTGGAGTATCCCTGAATGCCTGCAGAACAGAATCTTCAAATGGCTACTCGGTCTACGAGGGTCTCTTCGCCATGTTCGGATGTCGCTCCTTTCACGGGTCCCGCCTTCGATTCTTTGCTGCATATTGTCAGTCGTCTCGTCCCTCGTACTCAATCATATCGACTTGGCGGATGGTCAACCGGTTGGAGAATTATCACAGGACACCCATCTCCGACATCTATGCCTGAACAGCAGTAGTGTGGCGAGTTTCTTGCTTCTTCCAGAGCTCAAACATTACACTCACGCTCTACGCCATCTCTCTATCGACACTTTCTACATGCCGACCGTGTTCACGTCCTTTTGCCGCCTCGTTGCGGGTACTCTTAAACGTCTGGATCTTAATGTCCCCCGTCAGTTCTCACGAAAAACGAGCAGTATTTCGTCACTCACATTAACCATAGCATACACTCGTTATTCGCACAAGATTCGAGTCGCGCCCTGGTTCCCAAAGTTACGCAAGCTTGCGATTCGGATTGAGTATTACGGTGCTTCATTGGCATTTACCGACACAGCAAACAATGACATTCTCCGGTCGCAGTTTGACAGGGGCTGCCTCGCTATCACAAAATCGTTCTCCCCTGCACGCGCTCCACTACTCTCCCGCATTACATTTAAGTTCAGCTTCAATGAACTGCAACCAAATACGCCGCCCTATAGCCTCACCACAACCGCTATGTCAGAGCTAGACGACTTCATCGACACCCATCCTGGCTCGCCGACCGTGATTTGGGTTGCGAAGATATGGGTGCGTGGGGGGGACGCTGCTCAAGTCCAGGCCACGTTTTCAGCAGCTTTACATGGAGCTTTGCCAAAGATTGTAGCCAAAGGGTTGCTTGTCATCAAGTACAAATAATAACTTTTCGTATCCGAGTCCCGCTAGAACTGGCTATGTCCTGCTCATCAAGTTTCAGCTACCCAAGAAATATTTCGTGTTAAAGTACTACCTCGAACAAGACGACACTCTGCAGCCCAAGGCCACTTTTCAATCCTCCTTCCAATACCCTAGTGCTCAATAATCGTCTTCGGAGGGTATCACCACTTCATTCCATCTGACAAGCCGGTGCTCCGCAGCCCACGGCATACTCTGCAGTACCCGTTCTCCAATTGTCTCCACTGGTTCGAATCCAAAGTCGATTTCCCAAAGGCAGAGCGGTGGTTTCGGATGGACCTTCAGTTTGCGGTCCACTGCCTTGGCGACCTGCGCTAGTAACATCAGGTCTTGAGTATTTATGAACAGATGCCATCGCAGCTCAATGACGAGCGTTTCCAGGACCGGGCAGGTAGCGGGGGAAAGAACGGTGGGGAGCAGGGAGGACGTAGATTGGGTGAAGTGGACACACGCCGCTTGGTTGAGCATCATGGACAGCCGCACCTCCCGAAGGCGAGGGAAAGAGGAGGGAAAACGAGCATTTATATCGGTGTCTGTAGCTTGGTTAAGTGCTGATTGACTCAGAGTCATGGGAACGACTGACCAACAAGATTGAGAGTCAAGTGTTCAAGAGTGGGGGCGGTCATCGAGGTCAAAGCAATGTCGTCCTCCGTTCTGAGTGCCAAAGACAGTCGGCGAACGGCGCGTATATGGGAGACAAATTCCGGTAGGCAGAGCAGCTGGCATGCTATGATGGACTTGTGAACCTCCAACTCCTCTAACGCAGGTGTTTCCGCAGTCTTTTCTTGTTCAAGCTCACGGAGGATGTCGCGCGTGAGTCTTGTGAATGAATATGAGAGACAGACGCGTGGGGAACCGGAGAGAAGGGTCCGAATGACGGAGAGTGGTGCAGCTTCGAGGTATCGCGCCGTTATGCGGACCAGACTGCCCTTCTGGCTGTTGAGAAAAGACTGGACAAGCAGAAGGCGCTCGAGTGCACTATTCTCTGGATGCCCCAGCATAAGGTGGGTTCCAGACAAAGTCACTGAATGGACAGACGAGAAGAGGCCCAAAATCTGCTTCACCGTGGCATGGACCGCTTGCGGATTCGAAAGATGCCAACTTGAAGTCGGATTTCCGACGTGGATATTAAGCCGCGTTATGAATGATGCAAGTCTACCCCCACTGGACTGGAAGTGTTGTAGAATCTGTTCAGCAGTGCGTTTCCTTGGATGGTTGTCCTCATCATATGCAACAGTTATCGTTCGAAGGCAAGCGCGTTGGCTCGATTCACGGAATCTTGTGTGAGTGAGGGAGAAGTTGCGGAGGGTAGGGAGATCGGCGTGCACAGCGATATTGTCAAAGAGCTCGAGTGGTAAGTTGAAGATATAGGCCATGATCAAGGCTTTTTGGATCACGTGCTGCATAGTATCTTGACCTTGACGTCCCCATCCACCACCCTTAATTCGCCTCATCTACCTCGAAAAAGAACAAAGGAGAAGAGCCCCAAGCCCTGATAAATGTTTCATACTCGCCGGGGCAGATAGCAGCGCTCGCGTTTTGGTCTATTGTGCGTCCTTTGAGTCAAGGCTCGTTTTGTCGGTTAATTAACGCAGTATGATACACCCTGGTAGCACTCAACCAAACAGTGGCTTCTTAAATCCACCCGAAGACGCACACAAACATCCTCGACCCGTTCGTCGCCAAACTCAAGCCACCACCAGGCGTCGTTTTTCTCAAACGCTGACCATCATCCTCGACCAGGACAGCGAGAAGGGAACGGGGCTTATTGTTGTCAATGCGCATGTGTTCAAGCCGTATGACCTCATTGCGCTCATGTCACCCTCACAGAACACTGTCGCATATCATGGCTTCAGCACTTCAAGCCCATATAATCGCCATCCCACTCACGCTCCGCATGGACTATCGATTAAGACGCACGCTGGTTCGAAGGGCATTGGAGGACGGGGCCGTCTTCGACGACTGGTGGGCGATAGAGAAAGAGATTGTGAGGGTTACAAAGGGGAAAGCCTTGTTGTCAGCGGTGGGGACGTCGCTGAGACTACCGAAAGATGTGGCCAACTTGTGCGTGGTGTTTCTTTCTGTGCCTCTATCTAACTTCTGCGAAGAGTATATGTGCTCCCTCAAAATATTGCTCAAGCTGCATCGACTAAAATACTCTGTTGTTCTGGGGAACTGTACCTACTACGCACTTCAAGTTCATGTCTACCACTACTTATAAGTACTCTTCCAATCGGCACGTATTGGTCTGAAGCTGAATCTCTTCCGCCGGCGTGGACGAATGACAGGATTGAAGACTTAACCTCCGGACTCTTGACCCCAGTCGAACTGTTGAAAGTTTGTGTTGTCGGCTTCGTTTACCTCTCCAAAGGAGAACCAGCACATCGCGCGTGTCCCTCCGCCTTTGTCGCTCGGAAGCAACGACCACCAGGACAACGAATGCGACAATTACTAGTACGAGGACCAGAAGACTCACTAGTCTGCAGTCTACTCGCGAAGTCAATGTGTGGAACAGGGAAGCTCTGAAGTACCAACTTTGGTATAACGTGACCATGAGAAGACGCGAAGGAGGAAACGCAAATGGCGGGCTATGGCCCGCTTTGGACACAGATGAATTAACACGAAAAAAATGGCGGGAAAAGGCACGAGTCTTGTCGCAAACACTTGTATTTCAAGACAATTTCCTCAAACTTCTACTTATCGCTTTCTCTAATCGACGTTCCAAGCTTTAGGTGAGCTTGACACTCTCCCAGTTGTGGCTAAGTTGCGTGCATCAGCAAAGCTCCTGGTAGGAAATAATGGGACACCCACCCGGTAGGCGCAGTCGAGCAGCCCGAGCTCTTAGAGCTGGTGAACTGGGGCTTGCCCTTGCACTTGTCACTCCCCCCGCCGGACTGGAAGAACTGGATTTCGTGGGGGACACCGCTCCACGAGATGCTACGCGCGCTGCCTCCGTTTGTGAGGAAGATACAGTCGCCTGAGCCCGCGCCGTTACTGGTGGTGAGAAGAGTGCCGGTGCAGTCCGCGCCTTCGAACCACTTGACGGTCGCAGCGTTGGCCGACGCGACAAGCATGACGGAAGTCAAAAGGGTGAAGAGTTGCATGGTTGGGTTGGATGTTTCTGCACCGAGTTAGTTTGAGTTGGGCTGGTGAATGAGATGTCGACCCACCTGCTTGTTTCAGGAGGAGGAACTGGGGAAATATCGTCGAAGCTGCGAGGTATTTATCCAAGTGGGTGAAAAGGGCAGTGTAGCTGGAGAACAAAGCAAGTCCGTTGTCTGCGGGCTCGCTCCCGCGAAACCAAGCTCATCCCGTGGCCAGAGTTGTGGTTTCCCGCAAGCGGAGACGTAAACACGCCTGCTGATCCAAGCCAGCTCCAACGTTGAATAGCAGCATCGAGTTATGCCCGCATGTTGTCTTTATTGCAGACCTCAGAAACCAAACAATGTCGGGAACAACCCCACATGCTCTCTTCTACCGCATTTAGAGTTCTTGAAACTTTTGGGGAAGCGGGAGAGTTTCCACACGCCGCGGCGAGCCAAGCAGATTGAATTGCTGGTGCTTAAACTCGCTGTGGATGACCGTCAGCAAGTATTTCCGAGAAGCATGCATGTTCGCTGACCGACTTGACAATCGTCACACGAGGACAGCAATCAGGGTCGGAAATACGATTACAGTCTCTTTGTTATGCCAACGATGACTACGATTAGCACGATTGAATACGCTCTCAGAGCTGCGACAAGATTGGGAGTTGCAATGGCACAACTTGAGCTGTGAACGATTGGGTCAGTAGTTGCGAGGAGCGAACGAGACTACAAACACTGGCACGCACCGGTAACTGTAACCGAGAGGCGGGAAACCAACGGTGTTGCTCTCCAACAGCCAACTCCATACTATGCTTGCCAGGACTAAGAGGTCATCCCGATGACTCCACATAGAAGTAACGCTACACGGCGCCTGGTAAATGGTTAACAATGAGATGACAGACATGAGCACGCGTATTAGGGCACACCAGAAGACCTGGTGACGAAAACCAGAGACTTGATTCTCGAGCGGCTGGATGTTTGTCTGAAGTCGGTGAGTATTGCTTCTGTTGGTATTGCTCGCGGGTGTCGACGGCCTGTATTACAGGGAGGGGTGGGAATGAAGCAGAAATAAGAACACATACCCGTCTATGCCGACATACTAACAGCATCTCGATTCCGCAAACGTGTTGAGCACCTCGCTTTCTTGAGGTATGAGACTAGCCAGAAGGAAATGGCCTTGTCATTTATCTGCAGCAAATTCCTCTGTTAGACATGGAATAACCACGCGATACCCAACTTGAAACTTGAAGGACATACCAGAATCGCATTTCTCATTTCCTCTCAGTCTGCTAGTGCCGCAGCAGGTACCGCGTGTTTTCGTACAGTGAGACTCCGGATAGTCACCCGAAAGGATGCCCGCAGCGGGTTCATTTGGATGGGGTTGTGGTGGTGGTTGGTGAGAGCAAAGATCCGAGGTCTCGTGACCGCAGCTTTTCTTGCACAACAACTACCATGTTGCCCCCCGAACTTGTCGACACCATCGTGGAAAAGATTGGGGGCATGTCCGACCTCAAATCATGCTCTTTGGCTGCCTCAGTCTTCCGTTACGCTTGCCAAAAGCGTCTCCTGGCCACACTTTCACTCGGGGGCCCGGACATGTACGCACGCGCAAAAGGTTATGACGAGGCAGCGGCGCGTTTCGAGGCAACACCTTCTCTAGCGCTGCTCGTCGTAAACCTTAATATCTGGCTTTCGACCAAACCCATCGCAGCCCCCGTGGTCAACGCGCTTTTCTCCGCCTTGGTGCGAGTTAGCTCGTGTACTATTTCTGGTCAGGGCAATACATATGGTCGCCCCTTTAAATGGAAAGCTATCACCAATGGTCTTTCTCTGGCAGTAAGCCACTGGCTCTCTGCTGTTCCAGACGGCACCATGCGCTACTTCCACGTCTCTAACCTTGCCAACGTTCCCCAACGCTTCCTTCATGACATTTTCAGGGTGTTAGGGCCACGTTGCTTCCTGTCCTTCACGATGATGTCGGTAGACCAGGCGAGATCTGTGGTCTCGCCTCCGCATACTCCGCCGCCATTCCACTTCCTTTTCTCTGGCCACACCAACGTTCATCAACTATTGACCACACCCGACTCGGGCTTCGTCCAGTACTCGCAATCCATTCGCAAGCTCACTGCATTAGTCAACTTTGACACAGAACTCGACGCGGCTCTGCTCATTTGTGCTGCTGCGACACACAGCCTTGAGCACCTCCAGCTCACCCTCTCCGGTATGTATTATCCACCCATTTGTACTATTGCTTATGCTTTTTTTTTCAGCGCAAAGACTCCGCCAGCGCGACACGATAAATGAAGATGCTATCCCACGCCTTTTCTCTCTTCGACTCCTGGAGGTTGTCTGCACTGGATTCGACAACCAGCTCGAACACGACCACAGCTTTTCCTGGTTCCTCTCCCAGGTCCTCGCTCCGATGCTGCGCCCCGGGGCCACGCCATGCCTCGCGCAAATCCAATTGACACTAGCCGTAGACACGCTGGAGCAAGCGGTCAACGTGTACGTTCCATCAATCCGAGGCCTGCGAAAAGCCCATCTATTGCTTCATCACCTGGATAAGCTCCTGGCGGGACATAATATTCTTCTCCGCTTCATGTTCCGGACCGGTCACCTTCAGGCCGGGGCGGCAGAGCATCTGGAGGCGATTTTCAATGCGTTGAAGGAGAAGCTACCGAGTCAGGCGCGGAAGAATTTGCTCAAGGTTGTGGCAGAGCCCTCGTAGGACTAAATGTAAATTTTCATTGTTGCCCGTATTAGCCTGAACGGACTCTTGGAACAACGAGGACTGTGTGTGTGTGGACCCGATTACCCGACGCATCCCCATAGCTCAAGGCCCAGTTGCTAAAATGAGAGCCCATCTTCTTCGCAGCATTACAGAGGTTAACCGCATAGCATCTAGTAAATGGTTAACGATGACAAGTCCTGGTGCGAATTTGAGCCCACCAGAACAATAGCAACAAGATCGAGCATGATGGCGCTGGCGGGCTTGACTTTTGCTTGGTCTTTGAGGCCGCTACAGCCGAACGAGAGATTCTTAAAAAACTTTGCTGACCGCTGGGTTGACAAGGCCGTGTCGAGGAGAACGGGGAGGCTGGCCAAGTCGGTGAGTATTGCGGCCCAGAAAAGTGCGTTGCTAGAGCCTGAGAGCAGCAGCAGTCAGGCAATGAAGCGTTTGACAAGAAGTTATAACGCACAATTGTATTCCAACAGCCTTCTCGTAGACGACTCTTGTCGAGCATGGTGGCCCTGTGGCTTTGAGTTCGCTTGAAGAAGTCCATTGCGTAGGAGACTGTGGGCATTAGACAGGAAATAACCACACGAAGAGGACACACCAAGGTCCACCGTCCAATCGTGGATTTCAAAGACCACCCCCCTCTCCCTGCATCAGGTTAAGACCGCCGCTGTTCGTTTGTTGCCGGCATCTCTGGTAAGCATGCGTAGATAGTTCCATCCGGACAGGTTGAGCAATGTGTTGTGGTGGTCGAGGTCTGAGTCAAAGCTTTGAAGATCTCGTGATCGTACATACTCTCAAACAACTACGACCATGTTTCCACCCGAACTCATCGACACCATCGTGGATAAGGTAGAGGTAATGGCTGACCTCAAGTCATGCTGTCTGGCAGCCTCAGTCTTCCGCTACGCATCCCAATCGCGTCTACTCGCCAATCTCTCGCTCGGCTTTGAACATTATACAGGCACTGGGAAGCGTTATGACGAAGCAGTAGCCCGTTTTGAAGCGGCTCCGCATTTAGCCTCGCTTGTTGTCAACCTCACCATTTTTGTTTCCAAGTCGAGTGGGACCAGCGAGGTTATTACCGCCACCCCAACGCAGCTCAAGTCGCTTTTCGCCGCCTTGACACGAGTTGGCTCATGCACGATGGCGAGTTTCAATCATAGATGGGAAGATATACCTGAGAGGCTTTCTGTTGCTGTCGGCCACTGGATTTCGCTCGTTCCAAGCGGCACATTTCACCGCTTCCACATTGAAGGCATTAACAATGTTCCACAACAGCTCATTCACGATATTTTCAAGGCCATAGCGCTGCATTGTTCGCTCTCCTTCACGATGACCTCCACAACCTCGCTTGCATGCGTCAAAATGCCTTCATATACTCCCCCACCATTTCACCTCCGGCTCTGCTCCCGTTATGCTGACCCTCACCTCCTATTGACCGAACCAAGCTTCCTTCGATATGCACAATGTGTTTCCCGGCTCACTGTGTCTGCAGCTCACTCCACGGAAATTGAAACAGCTTTCCGCATTTGTGACGCTGCAACCCGCCGTCTGGAGCACATTCGACTGATACTTTCTAGTATGTGGTAACTGCGCTCGTGTACTTCTGTGCGATTCAAGCCCTTTTCAGATGGAATGAGGCCGCCCCAAAACGACGTCCATATCAAAACCCCACCATGCCTCCCTTCCCTCAGACTGTTGGAGGTTAACTGGACTCGAACCGACAAGCAACTCAAATTTGACCATAATTTCTCTTGGTTCCTCTCCGAGATTCTGGCTCCGATCCTACGCCCCGAAGTTACGCCAAACCTCGCTCAGGTCAACTTGGAGATAGTACTATATCCAGCAGAGCTCGACCGAGCTTTCCCTGTGCTCATCCAGGTCAAAATGTTCCCCTCCCCAATCGATCTCGCGTTGCTTCGCCAGCTGGACGATATTCTTGCAGGACGGGATGTCCTTCTCTGTTTCGTTTTTAGCACCAACTGTGTGGAGGGGGTTGCAAGAGATGTTGGAGACCTTCTCGAGGCGCTGAAGGACAAACTACCCAATCACGCTCGTAGGAATTTACTCTCTGTTGTTGCTCAGTCGTTGTGTGAGAGTAGCTCTGCGTTGCTAACTCTCAATATGCTGAAAAAGCTTCAGGCCTCGAGGACTGAATAAGCGCAACGGAAGAAGGAATTTCTCGGGGAAGTCGAATGCATACGGAAGAATGCCCACAACATTTCGGAAGAGGTGCAGATAGCAGGCAGAGAGGGTGGCTCGGGCAACTTCGTGAACACATAAAACATATATTTCTCAATTGTACCAATCGTGTTCTGTCTCTCGTTTCCGATTCAGTCTTCCCAGTTTATGCTCGTTTGACTACCTTGACACTTCGCCAATCGAAGCTGCAGTAGAAGCATCAGCAAACACCCCCAAGGTACGACGTTACCCCACTCACCCAGTTGGAGCGGTTGTGCATCCAGAGCTGTCCAAACTGACGAGAGGCTTGTTGCCACAGAGGAGGTTGGATCCTCCCGTCGAGAAGAACTCGATCTTCATGTTGTTCTTGACACCAGTCCACGCGATGCTCCGCGCGCCTCCTTTGAATTGGGTAATGCATTCGTCGGAAGGGACGTCGCTGCTCGTCTCGATGAGAGCGCCAGTGCAGTTCTCCCCGGCGAACCATTTGAGTGTGGTCGCGTTGGCGGACACGATGAGTATGAGAGGGGCGAAGAGGTGGAGGAATTGCATGGTTGTGAGTCTGTGTTCAAGTGAATGGGGTGGTAGATGGAAAAGTACTTTGACCCACTGGTTAAGTACTAATAGGCCTCAGAGCGAGGCTTGACATTCATCGAGAGCGGGAGACGCCACAGCCGATCTCATCTCGTTTCCCGAAATCGTGGAGTTCCCGTACTGAGAACTATTTGAGACGACTCCACATAGAACACCTGGTAAATGGTTAACAATAGCAACCCCGAGTAGAATTGTAAACCCACAACAGCCAATACCCCGCTTGCCTCCAGCTTGCCTCCCGTAATACCAGCCGAGAAGTTGGGTGGATGGCGGGCAAATGACGATTGACGAAATCGGAAAGCAATGATGTTTGTCGAGTTAGGTCGAGTAGTATTTCCCCCGGTGGAATCTAGCGTTAGCCCGCGCTCGATATCATCCTTGGAAAGAGGTCAGGGCACTGAGCGCAGGAGGTTTCGACGATACGCACGGCTCGATGCGCTGGTCCAAACTGCCTCTCATGATACCAGCCGGGAAAGACCGAGAAGTTGGTGGGATAGCGGGTACATTGGCATGACGATTGAATGAAATTGGGGGGAAACCAATTTCGTCCAGTTAACTTGAGCGGTAAGCATCCTCCTCCCAGGGAAATCTAGCGTAAGACACACATTGCTAGCTGCGAGAGGGTTCAGGTGACGAGAATATTGTCTGAAAGTGAGAACATACGACAATGCCAATAGCTATGGGGATCTTGTCGTCCTTCGATGACCTCTCTCGTTTTCTTCATTAGTACCACCGGTATTCGATTGAGCCAGTATGTTGCGAGTTGCTGAGGACCGCTTAGAAGTAGATTCCTCTCAGTGTTCATCTGGATGAAACGTCGTGCGAGGTGGTCGTGGTCAAAAAGATTTGGAGTCTCGTGACTAACCACGGCATTTCTGAATCTTGCAAAAAACAGCAATGATGTTTCCTCCTGAACTAATCGACCTCATCGTGGATAACATCCAGAGCGCATCCGACCTCAAATCATGCTGCCTGGCTGCCTCATTCTTCCGTTATGCATGTCAAAAGCGGCTCCTAGCCACACTCTCACTCGGCTACGATTTGGACAGAGGGGGAAAATGTTACGAACAAGCAGTAGCCCGTTTTGCAGCGAGTCCCCGTCTCGCGTTGTTTGTGATCAGAGTTGAAATCCAGCTTTCCACTGCGAAACTTTTCGCCACTGCTACGCAGCTCAATTCGCTTTTTGCCGCGTTGTCGCGAGTTCGCTCATTCACTATTCAAGATCGTGGTCACAACAAGGAATGGGAAGACATACCCAACGAACTTTCTGGCGCAATGAGCCACTGGCTGTCTTCCCTTCCAAGGCGCACAATACGCCACTTCCACATCAGCGGCATTCAAAACATCCCACAACGCCTTATTCACGATATCTTTCGAGCCATAGAGCCGTGTTGCTCTCTGGGCTTCACGGTGATGTCTGTAGATGATTCTAGTCTTATCTTAGAGTCAGGCTCCTCCTGGCCTCTATTTACTCTGCCACCCTTTGAGTTGTTTTGCTTTTTCAGCACCAAGCTTTCTCAGCTATTGACTCAGCCCAACTTTATCCAATATTCCAAGTCCATTCGCAAACTCACCGCGGTTGCAAATCACAAAGCGGAGGTCGTCGCGGCGCTGAAAATCTGTGCCGCTGCGAGCCGTAGTCTCAAGCAACTCTCGTTCATACTTTACGGTATGTCACGACTCCGCTCAAGTGTTCGTTATTCAACTCTCTTTAGCAGGGAGAACTAACTCCCAGCCCGACGTGCACTGTGCACAACCACATTCCCCAGGCTCTTCCCTGCCTTACCGTGTTGGAGGTCCACTGCAGTCGATTTTATCGTCAGCTCGAACACTTGTCTGATTTCTCCTGCAGCTGGTTTCTCTCCAAACTGCTGGCCCCGCTACTGTGTCCGGGGGTCACACCAAACCTCGCGCGCATCAACCTGCAACTGCGTGAAGAGCAGTCAGCTAGTGAATTCCTGGGCTCCCTCTCCTATGCGGCCAATCTGCAGGCGTTGCTTCGTCAATTGGACAATCTCGCAGCAAGGCATGAGACGAAGAATGTTGCTATCACCTTCGTCTTGCGGGTCGGTGCTGCAGATCCACGCACCATGGCGGCGATTCTCAAGAAATTGAGCGCGGGACTGCCGCGGCAGGCGCGAAAGAATCTGCTGAGCGTTGTTACCGAGCCGTTGTAAACATGCCAATGGCTCCGAGGCGTCCCGATTTTCACCATTGAATCTGAATTTTCTGAACAACTCCACTCTGAAATACTGATTTGACAAGGCGGAACCCATTTTCGCTCATTGCTCAATTGCTCCCTAGATGTGATGTAAAAAAAGTCAATTGCTACTAGTATGCTATAGTGTCTTTCTTGAACTGTGCAATCTGCGCTTGAAAGCAAAAAATGCCTCAAAAATGCAGGCCCTCGCTCATTCCGCCGACGTTCTCCAAATACGAGCTCCACTGCTCCCAGCTAATATCCCGAATCAACACACAGTCTGATAACAAGAGGCAGAACGGGACATACTAAGGGTTTATCGGAACGTCAAACGCTTTCGCGGCAGGCGCGCGTGGCACGGGAGTCATCGGGTCATTCAAAGCCGCTGTGTGAGCGCTTAGTCGGAGAGAACAAGTAACAGCTGCCGAAACACACACCTTGTGCGAGATAGACAATTTCTAGGGGCAATGTCCCGGGAACCTCGTCGAACTGGGCGTCAAGATGAGACGATGGCTGGTACAGCGACTGTTGCTCTCGAGACACGGCAAAATGCGGGTGAATTGGCGTGTTGCTGTTTTCGAATTGCGGATGGACAGGGAGGCTGCCCAGTTCTGTGGCGTAAAGCGGCATGCGACCCATATACGTGTCGGCAAAGTCCAGCGAGATATGTTCGTTGGAGGGGTTAGCTGTGGCAGGCGAGAACAAGTGCGTTGTCTCCGCAAGGGATCGTTCTAGCGCCTCCATTTGCTCGTCCACGAACTGAGGCGAAGAACCTTCGGAGCCAACCGACAATGACGGAGGTGAATCTGCTGGACGTTCCGGCTGCATTTGCTGGTCTTCTTCGTCCTGCTCCCGTGGTCGCTTCGACTTGTGCTTGCTCAAGTTGAGCATGGCATCGATAATGTCACAGGAGCGACCGGCAAGTCTCCATCTAAACTCCCAATCAGCACCGTTGACCACCAAGAAAAGCTCCATACCGCCGCTCATACAACCGCAGTACCATGACGCAGTTCTTCACATCTGCTGTCGCGCGATCAAAGTTATCATGGCCGTCTGTCCTTGACCTCCCCGAATCCCCCAAACGCCAGACATTGATGAGGAGAATAACCGCTGCATCGAACAAGATGCTCTGTGCCGTATGATGAGAACGAGTCGATAGATCGGCAAAGAGGCCTCACAATCATGCTTGCGGCGCAGATTACGCCCCGGCCCCGCCTCGCTTGAACCTCCAGCACATGTCCGATGGAACGAGCAGCGTTGGCGCAAATTGCCATGGACGGGAAAGAGATCTATGGCCTGCATTAGCTCGAGTCACAAGCAACAAAGGAAAAGATCAAACGGTTGTTGGGGACTCCTTGCCTGGCGCGGTAATAAACGGTCGATGGATCAGTATTTGCGCTGGTGGTAGGTCAATCCAAGATATTGGGTCCTCGGAGCACTTACAGTGGTAATACGACGCATATCTGAAGGGCCCAGTTAGAGTATGCTTCTAACACAAAGTGGAAAGCACAAACAACACGGCTGACTGGTCCAAGAAAATCTGCAAAAAGTGAGCGCCAAGCGGAACGGGCTTCAAGACGTTACCTGGTTCTCCTGTTGCGGATTCCATTTCACTACCTCCATTTCGTTAGATTTGTCCTCAAAAGATGGTCCGCAACACACGATGCACTGGAATGGCATCGATCCATTGGTTGACTGCCGAGCTAATAATATGTCAGCAAAACCGAAGACAAGGACACCATTGAGAAAACACACTCCAAAGCGATGATATCGTCATTACTCGGCTCCCTTCGGTCCACAGGATACTGTTGAAAAGAGTTGTGATAAAGTTTCCCCAGCAGAAGAAAACACTAACCACACGAGTTTGAATGTTCACATAAAGGTCGACCAGCTTGAAGTACGGGTGGAAAAAGGCGTGAATAGACGGTTTGGATGATGATGATGTATTTCCTAGTTCAAGCTGCTGTTGTTCCTGGATTGTTGCGGATTTGCTTGGAGACACAGTCCAGTATTGGTCGTCGAGCGGGGTAGGAAGAGGGGCTTTGAAACTTTTCAGGCTTGTAAGTTTTGGTTTCGTGTGAGTAGATCGAACAGACCTCGCCACGGAGCGGACTCGTCCCTTAAACGCCGACATGAGCGTTTCCCAGAAAACGAAGATCCAGAACACGCGTTTGTATAGCTCGACATCCAGCGGCTCAAGCTGCGTGTTGTAATACCACGCTTCGTGTTGGGCCGCTACCGCATGGAGGAAACGGAGTCCGACACCGATATGGAACCAGCATTCGTCTGGAGTGGAGGACGCGGAGAAGTACAAGACACCGAGCTGTAGAAGTTGAGCTGAACAGTGGTGAGAGACAAGGGAAAAACGCACCGCCAGTCGTTGCAGCCGCAATAAGGACTTAGTAGCATCGAATGACGCACTGGTTGGCCGAATTTGGGAGAAGTATTTCCAGCCTGCACTGTGCTCTGAATCTTTCTCCTCAAGAAAGACGCGCCGGTCATCGCTATACTTGCTCGCGACAGCACAGACGGCAAGCACCACTTCCCCAAACGCCCGCTCGCTCAGATGTCGTTTCGAATCTAGCGACCGTTCAAACGAAGTTCGGTGGAGGATGCCGATAATAGGATTAATTTGTTCGAAGTAGATGTGGACAAGTGTTTTGAGGAGATCAGGTTCGGGGAATTCCAGCGGGGGATACTTGATGGTACATATTTCCCACTATAGACAATCGTTATGAGGGACAAGAGCAAGGACACGAAACACACTGAGGGCGGGGTCCAGAATTCTGTTCGTTGGAGACCAAGGACGTAGACTTGCCCGTGGTGGATATGCTTAATCGCCGTCTTGACGAAGTTGGAGGCATCGGATTTGCTGCCGTGCTTCTGGTAAGGGTCGAAGAGGTTGTTGACGCAGCTGGTAATAAGAGGGTTATGATATTCGACCCCCGCATCGTCGGGAGAAGGAGATTCCGATTCTTTTGGGCTGGAATGGTTCCGCAGCTTGGCCTCAGCTTCCGCTAATCTTTCCTCCAGGTCGCGAGCGTAGTGGCAGACCTCCAACAGCATATGATTTGACGCGGTTAGGTCGATTGGTGGGGCGTAGGATGGGGACACAGCGCCAGCCACGTAGTTCTGGGCCGACTTCACTCGGTCGGCAGACATCCTTCTTTGGTTTCCCTGTAGGCAAGATGAGAACCAGCCCATAATCCAGGCTGTTGCTAACGCACCTTGGTCCTCAAATGCATACAAGCAATGCCTGCTGATATGCAGTTCGTACATCGGTTGTTGGGCATTTCCCCGCTGTCGCCTGAGATTGGTGAGTGTCGATTTCAGCAAAAGAAGGCGTTGGGTACATCGAACTACGGCGTTTAGAAGTTTGAGCGAGGGATGGTCAGAAAGACGCACTTTTCTTCCTCCTGCAAGCATCACAGCTGCCCTGCAGCCTGCGCCGTTTGTTGGAGCCATTCTCTTCAGCATTTGGCATGGGGGTCAGCGGCGATCATGGGTTACCAAATCGACGTCACAGGCTTTTTCCTAACCTCAAGCTTCAAGCTTGACACGGCGAACGTTGGGTGAGCCAGCTGTCTCTCAAACCCATCCAACACATGCTGCAGCGCACCCTCCTCAACGCGCGAAACATATCCCGCTCCATGTCTACCGCAACAATCCATCTTTTCGACCCTACCGCGCCAACCGAGCCCGCTAGAAAGCTCTGGCCAAATCCATCCCCAAAAGCAGGCTCATCGCGCGTCTTCCACAACGGAGAGCAAGACTCTATCACTGCGCTGGCATCGCTGGGCCCGGACTTCGCCTCGAAAACGGCTAATGAGCGGAGGGAGGCAGTGAGGCGGCAAGTCGGGGGTTTGGTGAAAGAGCTAGCGTCGAAGGACTACGTTGAGCGGGTGGTGGTTGATACAACGCATGACGCGCATGCCTCAGGTACGTTGTCGCTGCCTTTTTCTTGCTTCTCTAACCTGTTCAATAGCCGTTGCCGCCCATTTAGCGACCTACAAGTTCACCCTCAAAACAGAGCCTGCTCATCGGCTCAAAGCGAACGGTTTAAAGCCGCTTGATGCGTCCGCCGAATGGGACCGTGGGGTTGTTTACGCAGAGGCCCAAAATTTGGCCCGGACTGTGCGTGCTTTTTTTCTTCCTGCTCGTCCTCGACTAATCGGTTTTGCAGCTCATGGAACTCCCTGCAAATATGCTTACGCCAACGCCTCTTCGCGCAGCGAATACAAGCCGAGTTTTCTGAAGTCGAAAAGACAGAGGTGATAGTAAGGGACGAAGGTGTGTTCTCCGTTGCTTTCAATTCCCAAAACTGATAGTTTCAAGCTTGGGCGAAGGAAAAGGGCATGCGGACATTCTTGTCTGTCTGCGGCGGGACTTCTGAACCGGGAAAAATTGTCGAAATGTACGCCAATCCATCATAATCCTTCAGTGTTCACCGTCCCGCTTTCAATCAGTCACTATAACGGTGCTTCCTCTAAAGACGCCGCCCCATTAGTTCTCGTTGGTAAAGGCATTACTTTCGATAGTGGGGGAATCAGCCTCAAGCCTTCTGCTGTGAGTTTCATTCGCTCTTATCGACAGTATCTGACAATCGTTGCAGGATATGAAGCTTATGCGTGGAGATATGGGTAAGGGCACGCATCCATTTTTCCTCGCGGCTCACGTTGCACCAGGCGGAGCCGCATCCGTAGTTTCTGCCATCCTCGCCATCGCCAAACTCAAGCTCCCGTTTGTACACCTTTCCGAGTTCTTTTAACCCACTTTTCTGACTTTGCGTGCAGTATCAACGTTGTAGCGCTCACACCGTTAGCGGAGAACATGCCGAGTGGAACTGCTACTAGACCAGGCGATGTGTCAGTTGTCCAGCAGCTCTGGGTGGATGTTGCTCATATGGTTATAGAATCTACGCGATGAACGGCAAGTCCGTCGAAGTCGACAACACGGATGCTGAAGGTCGATTGGTGTTGGCTGGTGAGTTTCGACTATCTTGAAGGAATGAGTTGCTAACGCACACACAAGACGCTATTTACTATGGTTCAACCGAATTTAAGGCTCACACATTGATTGATGTCGCGACGTTGACTTAGTAAGTGCTTCTTTCGGTCATTAAATTTCAGTCCTTGACCTTTTTCTTAGTGCTATGGATATAGCCTTGGGCGAAGTCTTCACCGGCGTCTTCTCCGTGAGTTGCCCGGTTTGTTAAACGGCTGGTTTCTCACATCTCTCAAGTCCTCCGATGCGCTCTGGGAAAAGCTCCACGCCGCTGGCGAGACCGAATACGACCGGTTCTGGCGGATGCCCCTCGACGAAGATTACGGCCCGCAGATCTACAGCAGCAACGCGGATCTCTGCAATGTCCTCCCTTCTCCGTTGTTGATACCTACCTGACACGAATCCAGACCGGCGGTAAACCCGGAGGAAGCGCGACTGCTGCACTTTTCCTGAAACATTTCGTTCATGGCCTGGGCACGACGATCGAGTGGGCCCACATCGATATCGCGGGCACGATGGAGGCGACGCGGGAGAAGCCGTACTTGCTGACGGGGATGACGGGGTCGTCTGTGCGGTATGTAATCTCGCTCTTTCATGGATTTGGCCTGAAGTAAAGTCTTTAGTGGGCTGATTGAGTATGCGAGGAATTTGGGGCAGAGGACAACTTGATCAGCATGAGCTCGTTAGTGGAGAGGAGTGTCAAATGAACTGAATGCATTCAGGACTCGCGCGGTCAATTCGTTCAGCGTCCATTTCTGCGTTTGCATTAGATGTCTTGGAACAAATTCTGCGTTGTTTCAAGACCTTCGAAGTGTATTCGAATTACGGAACGTTACAATGGTTCAAGCAACAACATTGAGTAAATCTTTGCGGGCCTGATTCGGTAGTTTATCACGCAATACCCCGCGAATCGCCTCGACATATGCATGCTCCTCGGACGCTTTCATGGCGACATTCCGAAAAGCAAAGGTAAGGAGGACATCATGACCGTGTCCTGCTACAGTATCGTCCAATTGGCGGAGTAGAGTGTGCGCACTTGCGGAGCGTAACAGCCGAATCAAAGCTCGGATGCTCGTTCCTTGCTCAGTATTTAGCTGTATTTTGAGCTGCGCCAGGTTTGGGGTAACTCCGGGCCGCATGAGCGGACACAAGAGTTTGAAGAGGAGCCACGAAAAAGTTAAAACCATAGTCGTGCGAAATGGTGATCATAGGACAGCGGACCCCCAACAGTTGAAGTGACAAAAGGGGCGGGATAAACTCAGCATCATGGTCGGGCTGCCAGTGAGAGAGTGATTCAGAGGCTAAAAAGCACTTGAATTATGAGAATCCGGGTATGATAGAGTCTGGGTCACATACCGTACATTGATAACTGGAGATGCTCGAGAGTGCGGGTTGCAGTGGCGCAAGTCTGGAGAGCCGCAACAAGTTCCGCCTGGTAGTTGACGGTCACAGTAACTGTGCGAATACCATGGGAGTATTGTACGAAGTTGGGCTTCGTCAATAAAGGAAAAAAGTTGGCGTTAGAGCAAGATAAATTGAAGGGCGGTGGAGTATGTGAAGGCCAGTCGATGGGATTAGCCTCGTCTACCGACATTAAGGTGAAAGACAATGAACAGCGTGGCGCTATGACCCTGAAGATATCATGGATGAACTGCTGTGGGACCTTGTAAATACCATGCAGACTGATTTTCTGCATTGCGCTGCCGGGAATGGAAGAGATCCAGTGGCTGAGAGCGAAGGAAAGGTCGCGTGGTATTTTTTCCCATTGACGATCGTCACAACAAATAGTGAATGAGCAAATTTGCGTCAAGGCGGCAAAAAGCGAATGGAGCTGCGCAGGGGTGGCTAAAAGTTTCGCAGTGGAAGGGTAGATTCTGAGTGTGATAACAAACAACGCGAGACGGGGGTTGGCTTCAAAACGGGCTGCTGCTTGTTCGTAACATTTTTCCCCTCTGTCTGGATAAGAACATCCGAGTGAGAGTGTGGCCAGGAGCCGCTTTTGACATGCATAACGGAAGGACAAGGCAGCCAGCCTCATGATTTGAGGTCGGATACGCTCTCGATGTCATGCACGATGATGTCGACAAGTTCGGGAGGAAGCATGGTCGCGGTTTCCTGCGAGAAATATTGTGGTCACGAGACTCCAAATCTTCAAGTCGTTGACCACGACCAACAGTCACTGGCACGACGCATGAACCTACTCACGAGCGGTTATCAGCAACTCGCAACATACTGGTGGTACTAATGAAGAAACCGAGCTAGAAGTCATCGAAGGACGGCAAAATCCCCGTAGCCAACCCATAGCTATGCTTGGCATTGTCGAGTATGTCCTAACTTTTTGACCTGAGCTGTCTCACAGCCAGAAAGCGTGTCTAGTGCTACATTTCACTGGGGGGAGGATACTGCTCAAGCCTCATGGTTAACTGGACGAAATTCAAGTTGCTTCAAGTTCCCCCAGGGGCCCAACTTCATTTAATCGTTATGTACCCGCCATCCAACCAACGTTTTGCTGGCATTATGGGAGTCAGGTTGGGACCAGCGGACCGAACCGTGCGTATCATCGAAACCTTCTGCGTTCGGTGCCCTGACTTCTTTCCAAGGATGATATCGAGAGCCGCTCAGAGCGCTGACTTCTCTTTCGTCAGGGAACCTACCTATGTACCTATTGCATCAAGGGCCTGTGTTTCTCCCGAATGCCGAGGGTGCGGACCTTTGACCTTGGTGTGTTGACGTCCTCTTCGTGTGGTTATTTCATGTCTGACAGAATACCATCCCCACAGTCTCCTACGCAATGAACTTCTTCAAGCAAATTCAAAGCCACAGACGGCGATATGGGCCACTTGAAAAGAGTCGTCTACGAGAACGCTGTTGACGTTGAAATGCGAGTGCGTTATAACTTCTGGTCAAACGCTTCATTGCCTGACTGCTGCTGCTCTCAGGCTCTAGCAACACACTTTGCTGGGCCGCAATACGCATCGGCTTGCTTCGTCAGCCGAAAATGGCCTGTTCTCCTCGACACGGTGTTGTCAAGCCCGCATGTACCCAGCTGTCAGCAACAAGAATCTCTCGTTCGGCTTTGGCTGAACGGCCTCAAAGACCAAGCAAACGTCAAGCCCGCCAGCGCCATGCCCGACAACATCCTTGTTGCTGTTGTTCCGGTGGGCTCAAATTCGCGCAAGGACGTGTTATCGTTAACATTTACCAGATGACATGCGGCGGTTTATGTTTGGTGATATCTAGCATTGTTTGCAGCGAGGGCGGCGTGAGCACTAGTGCGAGTACTACAGTATAGCTAGTACTACAGTAGGTGGACAAGACAATCGCGAAGGAAGAATCAAAAATGACGCGTGACCTTCTCTTCTTTCGTCGACCGCCACAAACATCCACTCTGCCCTCCCATCCTCCGTAATCTACCCTTTCTAACCCCGAAGCACCTAAGCCGTCATACATGAGCCCCCCGCACGGTCCGGTGTGTTGGACAACCAGCAGCACGACGGCTTACTGACTACCCTCCTCCAGGCCAGCGGTTGCCTCCTGGCTCATGCGACGTGGCAATCGTGCCAAAGCGTCGAAAACGGTGCACTCCGAGAAGAATGGGCCCTGTGAGACTCAGAGGGATGAGGAGATAATGGTCTTTTTGGTGCGTCAAACGCGACATTTTCCCTTCCCTGCGTCTGACGTGTTCTCGCCGCAGATACTCCCCTGTAACTCTCTTCCGGCCCTTCAAGCGCTCGATACTACGCCCTCAGCTCATTCTTGAGCGGTATATTGCTACTCGCCCAGCCAGCTGTTGGACGATATCGGCAACAGAGCCAAAGATAGAGCAGGGCTGAAGGCCCACCTGAGGTTGACCATATAGTGCGTGGTCTCGCAATACATTAACCCTATCCACTCACATCTGTTCTGCAGCGGCTGTCTCCTCACGAGGAATCAAGTGGGGGGCAAGATGACTGACGCCAGAGTCATTCGTTCTCGCGGGTCTTTTCGTCTCCCCGCAATGTCTGGTACTTCCAGGCAAGCATAGAATGCTAGTATTGAGACAGTTCAAGAGCTGAATGGTGTCAATGAGCGGCAAAGGTCGCAAGGCACAAATCGTGTCAACGTCGCCGATACATGAAGTGAATATATGGCTGGAGTCATCACGGATGTCTGAACCGCGGCAGGTGTGTTCTTCGTCTGCCTTTCGAGTAATTTTGCTTATTCTTGTAGCTACCGCGGAATGCCGCGCCAACCCCGTCTCTCCAAGTCGATATCGTTTCTTTGTCTCCCAGAACTGCCGCCTGACCACAACCATACCGCCTCATCTTCGCTGTCGCAAAAACGACTTCCGCACACCATCACCACTTTTTTCGCGCATATAGCACCACCAAAAACCTTCTGCTCGACCGCACTCAGGAGAAGACCATCATCGTCAACTCGAGACACCAACAACTCGCCTGTGTTATCCTCCAACATCCATAGACATCCCCAAGTGTCATTCCTTACTGTTCGAAGCCTTTGCGCATGCACCGCCGACACCAGCGACACTTCTCGTTCCCTTCTTCCGCATGCCACATCTGTCACGCCGAAACGACTTTGCAGGTCTGCCCATGCACCACATACGCATCTGTCGAGTTTATCTCGTGGTGCAGTACCATTCCGTTGCGCCACCCAATTCTTTCTGGGCGACGATATGCCTGGGAAGGCCTTCGTTGACACCGTTTTCTCCGACGTCGCCTTAAAGACTGTCGAAGACTTTTTACACCAGACCTGGACAATACGCGGCGTATAACCTATATCTAGTCATGCGCGGGCGTCTTCTCCCCCGTCTTTCGTTGTCATGGGGAGGATTTGGGCCTCCCCTCGTTCCTTCGTCGTCGTTTGGGGCTGGGTCTCGTTATTCGTCGGCCCGAAGTCGTAAGCGAGCAGGGGCGCTGGCCTGTTGGTTGTCCCTGCGTCACGAGCGACGCAGCATTGTGTTCCTTGGCCCTTTGGAGACTCGTAGGCTCGGCGGGCGTGTCATACCCGTCAAGCAGGCTTTTGCTACTTCTCTCTTTCTTTGCTACTTGTCTCTTATTGGTTTCATCCTGTACTATGGCAAGCCTTCGGTGTATCATGGTAGATGTAGGAAATGAGATACAGAGACAGAACGAGACTGGTATGATAGAGAAATATATAATTCTGGGGGCACTCTTCCATTGGAACTCCCGGCAAAAATCAGTTGCCATTCAGATTTCAAGGCCTCAAGCTACTTATCCAGCAACGCATAGCTACCAGTACTCTGACCACAGTGGCCACGACTCTGCGACAACAGAGAGCAAATTCCGACGAGCCTGGTTGGGTAGTTTGTTCCTCAATGCCTCGAGAAGCGCATCGACATGCTTTGCAAACTCCCTCACACGGGCACTGTTTGTCCTGAATACGAAGCAGAGAGCGACACCACTGCCAGTGGCACGTCCTGCCAGAATATCGTCGAGCTGGCGAAGCAATGCAAGATCGGTTGTAGAGGGGAACAGCCCTAGGACAACTTGGTCGACTTTTTCTAAGGATAGTAGTAGGGATATGTCCAAGTTAATCTGAGCTAGGTTTGGCGTAACTCCGGGGCGTAGCAGTGGAGCCAGAACCTCGGAGAGGATCCAAGAGAAATTATGGTCAAATTTGAGGTGCACGTCTAATCGAGTCCAACGAAGCTCCAACAGTGTGAGGGAAAGGAGGCGCAGTGGAGTTTCAATAGTAGCGTCGTTCCGGGGCGACTTCATTGCGTCTGAAAAAGGCTCGGAGAGCACACATCCAAGCGCAGTGATGACGTACCGAGAAATATTAGCCGAAGCTGTTCCAAAGTGCGGGTTGCAGCGGCACAAATACGGAGAGCTGTAAAAATCTCCTTGTAGTGAGCCACATATGCAGTGAGCTGGGCAACGCATTCTGCATATCGAAGGAAACTCGGTTCGGTCAATAGCAGGTGAGGGTCGGTGTGACTGGAGAAGAGTCGGAGGTGAAATGGTGGGGGAGTATATGAATGCCCGTTCGCCGACTCGGATTCCGCTATTGAAATGTCCGTGAAGGAGAGCGAACAATGCGGCGCTATGGCCTTGAAGATATCATGAATGAGCTGTTGTGGAACGTTGTGAATGTATTCAATGCGGAAGCGATGGATTGTGCCGCTTGGAATGAGGGAAACCCAGTGGCCGACAGCAACAGAAAGCTTCTGAGGTATTTCTCCCCATCTACCATTGTAACTCGAAATCGTGCAGGAGTCAACTCGTGTCAATACGGCGAAAAGCGAATTGAGCTGCGGTGGGGTGGCAGCGATAACGTCGGTGGTCAAAATATTGATGCGGAGGTTGACAACAAGCGATGCTAGATGAGGGGCCGCCCCGAAATGAGCCACCGCTTCGTCGTAAGTTCTGCGAGTCGTGTCCAGATGAGAGCCCAGTGAAAGGGTGGCGAGGAGACGCTTCTGGCATGCGTAGCGGAAGACCGAGGCAGCCAAAGAGCATGACTTGAGGTCTTCGGTGTCCTCTATCTCTTCCACAATGGTGTCGACAAGTTCGGGAGGAAGCATGGTTGTTGTGTGAGAAAAGAATTGTCCGAGTCACGAGACCTCTCAGGCTGATCTTTACCCACAACAACGCAAGACCCCTTCACTCAACCGATCTCGCTGTGAGCATCCTTGCCGGCGACTCTTCCTCACTGGCAGTGGTAAGGGAAGACCGGAGTAGCTGCCGCGGTACTAGCAGACTGAGAGGGAGAGGAAATGAGATTATGAGAAATGCGATTCGGTCCTTGCTGCTGGTATGTCCTTTGGGTATCGCGTGGTTACTACATGACTAACAGGAGAATTTGCTGCAGATAAGTGCCAAGGCCACTCCCTTCCAGCGAGTCTCATAGCTCAAGAACGTTTGCGGAATTGAGATGATTCCTAGTGTACTATGTCGGCATAGACGGGTATGTGTTCTTACTTCTGGGCCATTCCGTTTTCACTGACTTGTGTTGAAAGCCGACAACTCCCGCTGGTAATACCAAGGGGAATACTCGCCGACTTCAAGATTCCACCGTGACAAACGTCCAGCTGCTTGATAATAGTCTCTTGTTTTCGTCACCAGGTCTTTTGGTGTGCTTATACTAGTACGAGGGTTAATGCCATTTCATTGTTGACCATTTACCAGGTGCCGTGTGGCGTTACTTCTATGCGGAGTCGTGGAAGGTTACGGTGACCTCTTAGTCCGGGCACCATTGTGTGGAGTTGGCTGTTGGGGAGCAACAGCGTTAGCTTCCCGCCTCTCGATTACAGCGCTTTTGCATTGGTCACCGTGTACGTGGGCTCTCCCGGTGCGTACTTGTAGTCTCGTCCGCTCCTTACAACCACTAACCTAATCGCAAGTTGTGCCATTCCAGTCATGCGACCACTCTCGTCGCTCTTGAAGGGAATTTTGTGCTAATCGGACCCTGTTTTGGCATAACAAAGAGACCGGAACCGTATTGGCTTTCTGATCCTCAATTTCTACTAATTGCTGTCCGAGTCCTCGTGTGACGATTGTCAAGTCGGTCAGCGAACGTGCATGCTTTTCAGAAATACTTGCTGATCGTTTGTGAAGGTCACTCACAGCGGGTTGGAGCACCAAAAGCGGAATCTTCTTGGCTCGCCGCGGCATGCAGGAACTCTCCCGCTTCGGTATAACCTCCGACTCTAACTGCGGGAGAAGTCAGAGTTGAGAACGATATTTTGTTGACCGACTTCAACTTGAAGTTTGGCTGCACGAACGCTAGCGGCGGCTTCCTCGATGCTCTGCTCACAGTGCGAGCCCACGACTTTGACTGCATTTCCCACAAGCCCTTTACGATTACCCTTCCAACACTGTACGCTTGATTTCGTTCTTGAACTTCAAGTTGCTATTGATAACCGTTTAAAATTTGCCGGGCGTGACTTCGACGTGCCATACTTGGAAAGTTGGAACAAAAATAGCGATGACGATGTCTTGTTAGTCCCAACCTGCAAAAAAAAGTAGCTTGGGGAGCGATGATGTTGCCTTCCCGGCGACGCCTCGTCCCTCACTCGCTCATATTATGAGCTTGACCGGCGTGGTGCTATTTCGCCCTTGGGCCCGGGGGCCTCTGGTGGAATAACCTGGACACGTGCTTGCGCGCGGACGGGAGAACATCCGTTGGGCCATAGGGCACGAGCGTAGCCCTCGATGGCGTCCCCGACCCTTTTGTCAGGCCCCGGGTCGGCAAATATCCATGTTCTTAGACGTATTTACTGACAATTTTTGAAGGCCGTAGCCATGCAAAGCGAATATACGGCTAGCAGCATGGACTTCGCCGCGGCGTCGCGATCACCTTAGCATCCACATTCACGGACGCTTCCACTTCGATTGAACATTCATGCGCATGCATGCGAGCGCTGAACGGTGTCCCAATATACCCCGCAGGCGGACTTAACGAGGTCTTATGAAGTAAACTTGGAATATCTGAGATTCTGAGGTGAGGACGTCTATACCTATCCCAATGTGGTCCGGTTGCTCCACGACTCACGAGTCACGAGCATCATAGTGCGCGGACATTATTGTTTGGCGCTAACTGGTGCAGCTGGCCCGGGAACGAATCAGCGCGCGAGGCTTTCGACTCTCTGCCTGCTGGAAGATGTATTGTTAACCACAGGATGAGGTTGACTTTTGTGGGAGCAAGTCCGCGCTAAAGCGCGGACCCACTTTTTCTCTTTTCTCTGTCTACACCGCCATTGCGGACCCCAGCTGGATAAATACCCCCAGTTCCTCTTCCTGCAACGAATAGGTGGGTGAATAAGTACTGAACAGGCCATCTACTTTCTAACTTGACTCGGTACAGAAACTATTACCAACGCACTGGCAGTATGCAATTTTCCACACTCTTCACCACTATCGCACTCATCGTGACTGCCTATGCGGTCACGATTGAGGGATTCGCTGGCGCCGATTGCACTGGCGCGGTGATTGGGACGAGCACCGGCGACGGGGCGGGCGACTGTGTTTTCTTCACTAACGGAGGCAGCTCTCGCAGCATGTCATGGAGCGGCATCACCGGCCAGATCCAGTTCTTCGAGTCGGGCGGGCAGCACGACATATGCACGGGGAGTCCCCAGTTCACCAGCTCCAGCAGCTCGGGCTGTTCCACCGCGCCAGACGGGTTGGTTCCGTGCTATTTTGTCCAACGAATATTGCTGATGTGGACTTAGCTTCAACTGGGAGAGTGTTAGACTCACCTAGGATAGCCTGGCCCCGGGCCCTAGGACAACAAAGGTCGTTTATCGAGAGAAAGACACTAGGAAAGGCACAGAAACTATATTAAAATATAAACATTCGAGTTTTTGGGAATACTGAATTGTGAGATGAACTGGTAAGTAAAGTCTAGTCCTACGAGGGCTTTGTAACAACCTCGAGCAAATTCTTGCGCGCCTGATTCGGGAGCTTTTCTTTCAAAGCAATGCGAATTGCATTCACATGCTCTGCCGATTCGAGGGTCTTCACAAGATCTGCCTCGAAGACGAAGCTGAAAAGGACATTGCACCCCGCCAGAATCCCGTCCAACTGATGAAGTAGCAGATATGCAGTTGGAGATCTCAACGATCTAAGCATTCTTTCGGCCGCTCGCTTGAGTGGCAATAACCTGATTGATAGTTTGATATGAGCAAGATTTGGCGTGGTGCCAGATTGCAACAGTGGTGTTAGGACTTTGGAGAGGAACCCGGAAAAGCTGATGTCCTTATCCAACTGAGCGTCGAATTGATTACAGACAATATCCAGTAGGCGAAGG